AAGCTTGGTCTTCCAATCCTTAAATGTCATGAACAAGGATGGGACACTAAATGATGTGGCTGGGTTATACTGGTAAGTGTTGAAAGAAATTCACAAACTTGTTCAACAGTTATCAAATTGGAGCTCCGCATAAACTATCAAAATGTCTCTTGAAATATTAGCGGCCTTGATCGGTTTGAGGCGAGGAAGAAAGTGTGGTCAGATCTTGAGGAGACAGGGTTAGCTGTTAAAAAGGAACCCCACACTTTAAGGGTTCCAAGATCTCAGCGTGGTGGAGAAGTATGTATCATCCCAAATTTTCTTTAGATCTGCTGATGTGCATAGCTTGTTATATGTTATTCTGATGTATTCTTTGTTCCTTTATGTTAGGTCATAGAGCCACTTATAAGTAAGCAGTGGTTTGTAACTATGGAGCCTTTAGCTGAGAAGGCTCTTCGTGCAGTTGAGAAAGGAGAATTAACCATTATGCCTGAGCGATTTGAGAAGGTATGAACTGTAATTTAGCTTCAAATTTGCTCAATCATGGGGAAACTGTTTGTTTATTCATTCATTGCCTGGAGTGAATGCACTGCAATGTATTGTTTATTTGTATTTTGAAAGATACTCTCTTTTTTCCCTTATTCTATTTTTGGCTATGAGTCATTTGAAGACATCTTTGATCTATCTGTAATTATAAACTTGTTTACGTGTTAGGCCACATGCCTTTGCTCATGCCTACTCTTTCCTGCCGATAGATATATAATCACTGGCTGTCAAACATCAAGGATTGGTGTATAAGCAGACAACTATGGTGGGGACACCGGATACCTGTTTGGTACATTGTTGGAAAGCAGTGTGAAGAGGAATATATAGTAGCAAGGAGTGCTGATGAAGCTCTTGGGAAAGCTCATGAGAAGTATGGAAAAGATGTAGAAATATATCAGGATCCAGATGTTCTTGACACGTGGTTTTCAAGGTTTTCTCTATCTTGGTGAACTTAGTAATAGTGAAAGTTCTCCTTTGCAAATTTCAAAAATCACTTATTTTTTCATGCTCGTGATTATGAACTTGGAAGCTTCTTACAGTAAATCACTGTGCATTCAAATGAATATATTAATTCCCGTGTGTGATAACTGTTGCATACTCTCACAAACTTTGTATTGCTTCTCTTTAGTGCACTGTGGCCTTTCAGTACTCTTGGGTGGCCTGACGTGTCTACTGAGGACTTTAAGAGGTTTTATCCGACAACAATGCTTGAAACTGGGTACACACATTCTTACCACTCTGGAATGCTGTGTCATTTTTTTTCCATTATTTTGGGTTGCATGGCTGAAATCAAAGTCACCTGCTGGAGACTGGTGAGATGTGGTTCATGTCTATCTATAACATTTAGAGGAGTGTGGTTGCTAGCTGGAAATTTTTTCGATTACCAAGGTAGTGCGATCCAGGAAAACAGCGGTTTTTTAGACCAATGTTCTTTTCTCAATGATATATTAGAACTAATTATATGCTGCTCCTACGGATGTGTATTACTCTAAGTCTTGCAGATAGTTGTTGGTTGAGAACTGTGAACGGATGTGTATTACTTATGGAGGGTAGACACTCCTATTCTGTGATACAGAACATGAAGATCCTAAAATGGACATATTTTTATGTAATTATAATGTTTAAGTGTTATTAAGGTATTTACGTTATTTAGGAACTAGTATCTATATCTCTACTATTGGTTATTTCAATTAAATAACTATTTTCTTATTTTGTAAAATTCCTAGATAGGCTTAAGATTTCCTACATTGATTGTATTATGATGCTTATAAGTAAGATACTCAACACTACTCATTTGGCAGATTATTTATTCTTGTTACTTAAATATTGAGTTATTGATTTGATCTCTCTTGTTCTTCACACCTGTCCACTACTCTTGTATTCTTCCTTGAAAGTCTTCACATTTATCCCTTTTTTTCCTTTGTCTGTCTATTCGTCTATTCTGTTCCCATGTTTTTCTTTTCCTACTTAATAGGATAATTGTGGTTCTACCATTACGTGTCCTACAACATTCTAATTCTATTCTTCTGCTTGTAAAGTGCCAAGGTTGTTATCCTACTTCAAAATATGTCTTCTGTTTTGGGCTAAAGCTCACCTTTTTTAAAGGATGTCTTTTTTCTATTTTGCATATGGATGGGATGTCTGCTAGGTCTTAAGTCTTTATATCTTTTCTTGTTTTGTTATATATTCTTATTGTATGTTTCTTGTTGGAGGATATCTTATCCTCTTCTTTTCTACATATTCTCTTTCTCTTCAATAAAGTTCTTCGTAAAGATAAGAGTGAACTATCTTTGCTGCTTAAATTGTAAAGATAGGCTTAAGATTTCCTACATTGATTGTATTATGATGCCTATAAGTAAGATACTCAACACTACTCATTTGGTAGATTATTTATTCTTGTTACTTAAATATTGAGTTATTGATTTGATGTCTCTGGTTCTTCACACCTGTCCACTACTCTTGTATTCTTCCTTGAAAGTCTTCACATTTATCCCATTTTTTCCTTTATCTGCCTATTCGTCTATTCTGTTCCCATATTTTTCTTTTCCTATTTAATAGGATAATTGTGGTTCTACCATTACGTGTCCTACAGCATTCTAATTCTATTCTTCTGCTTGTAAAGTGCCAAGGTTGTTACCCTACTTCAAAATATGTCTTCTGTTTTGGGCTAAAGCTCACCTTTTTTAAAGGATGTCTTTTTTCTATTTTGCATATGGATGGGATGTCTGCTAGGTCTTACGTCTTTATATCTTTTCTTGTTTTGTTCTATATTCTTATTGTCCGTTTCTTGTTGGAGGATATCTTATCCTCTTCTTTTCTACATATTCTCTTTCTCTTCAATAAAGTTCTTCGTAAAGATAAGAGTGAACTGTCTTTGCTGCTTAAATTGTAAACAAGGCTTGCTAATATGCAAAGAATATCAGTACGGCATCAGTGTTCTGTGGGTTGTAGTTGTTCCACATGAAAGATCATGGATCCATTCATTTAGAGACATATTCATTTTTGAAAAAAGGTACATTAAACAAAGTTCATCATGTATTATTTTCTCTTTGCTGATCCCAATAAGGCCGAGTACACTCATGTCTGGAAAAAGCACAACAACAAATGGAACAATAAGAATTTTGTTGAATTCCAACTTCTTTTATTGAGAAGTACCTTGACTACAAATCTAACTATTGTCCCTTTACTTTTTTACACAGTTCTGGTATTAAAGACATGTTTCACTCTTATGGCTGTTATAGCATTCCTTGCATAGAGTTTATTTATTCCTATTTTTATTTGGTTACCTTCCTCCCTTGTGAGTTTAGTTTCCATATTTGGGCAGGCATGACATATTGTTCTTCTGGGTTGCAAGAATGGTCATGATGGGCATTGAGTTTACAGGGACTGTGCCATTTTCTTATGTCTATCTTCATGGACTTATTCGGGACTCCCAAGTGAGTAGCATAACTGAAAACAGCTACAGCTTTTATATCTCTATGTAATTACATGAAAGCTTTTGTTTCTCACGAGTTAACTACTTCTAAGTGTACAGTGCACTGTTTATTAGGATTCTACATCGTTAATACTGCCAATTTCCTTCCTCACTTTGTACAATTTATTTAACTGTGTTTCTGCTCCTCCAACACATCTTTATTGCAACATCTTTCTTCATTATCAAAGTTTTGTTAGTATGTTCTTCGATGCCAAAAAGAAAAAGTTTTATCCCTATGTTCTTGATGTTCTTGTTACTGTGTACCCTGATTTAGTTTGTTTACCTAAAGGGTAAGATCTAATTATTATATAAATAGAAAAGCATTTGTTTTTTTAATTTAAAAATCTTTAATGGGCACAATTAAGGAGCAAAAAGTTTATGCCTTCCTGAGAGGGACAACAAGTTTTTTCCTCTAATAAGCTTTTCAAAGCTCAACCTACTTCTGTTTTTTTACTTTAGTTCATGTTATGTATGAATTCTGCGTGCTCATAACTAATATATGCAATAGATCTTGATTTGTTCAATAATGAAAATCTTTCAGGGGCGGAAAATGTCTAAAACACTGGGGAATGTAATAGATCCAATTGATACAATTAAAGAGTTCGGAACTGATGCATTAAGGTTCACGCTTGCATTAGGAACTGCTGGGCAGGTTCGTACCTTGGAGCTCTGGAAATTGAATCTTAAAGGCAATACTATAACAATAAACATATGCATATAAGATGTCCTTTCATGTTGTCTTGTCTAATTTCACATGGTTTTCTTCCAGGATCTTAATTTATCAACTGAGAGATTAACTGCCAACAAGGCTTTTACCAACAAATTATGGAATGCTGGCAAATTTGTTTTACAAAACTTGCCAAATCTGAGCGATGCATCTGCTTGGGAAACTATAGTTGGATATGAGGTTAATTTATTCTCTTTCTGAGACCATCGAGTTAGATTGATCATATTATGGACTTGTATGCCAACCCTGCTCTTTTAAAATAAATTTACTTAAGAAGCAGAAAAGAAGTTTATGATGACAGACAAACATCTTTCTGTTAGATATGGGACAGGATGACTTTTTTAGCAAGCTTACAGGTCAAGGCACACAGTTATTTCTCTGAGATAGCTATTTCCAGTCTCCATCGCAATTGGGAGGCTATCATATTTGTTCATTAGTATTCCACGTTATTTGTTCTTTTATGTTCAGTCAAGGTTTTTCCTTTCTTTTTTGTTGAATTTTTGTGAGGACGTCTTATTCTCCTCTTTGTACTTTTCTCCCCTATCTTTATAAAGCTTGTTTGTCTATCAAAAGAACAAAAAGCAGACAAGAAGATGCTCAACCCTAGGTTAATTTGCAGATGATATCTCTGATCTTGCACATAAAATTGGAGCAAGATAGGGGTGAACACCTGAAATGCCATTTGCTTCCAAGAAATATTTTGCACATAAAACTGCAACTTGAAAAATATTCAGAAAAGGGATGAAAAAGTCAGAAACTGCCTTCTCTATTTGGAAGATGCCACAATCTTTAAGTTTTGCTTCATGAGCAAACAAGTCAATGGCATGCTTCTTAATAGGCTATTATTGCCCCGGCTTAAATGTAGATATTAACTGTGAACTGTGAATAGTGGACAGGGAAATGGGAATAATTGCTATTTCTTACCCCTACTGCTTTTTCTAATTTGTCGTAAAAATTATATAAAATGGACTTCTTTTCTTATTTTACTTGGGTTGGGGTGACATATCGCTTTAAGAAATGCAATCATCATCTTGTCTGTAAACTAAATTCTTCTTTTTTTTATTTTTGTCCAGTTTGGTAAAAAGGAGACATTACTTGCCATGCCTTTACCGGAATGTTGGGTGGTGAGAAAACTGTCTTGCTTTGTTGTCTTTCCAGTTTATTATACTCTCATAATTGTTGGAATATATGTTCAGATATGATCAAGAGGGTGGCCCTAGATGTTCATGTCCTGGCCTCCCAGAGAAGAAGGCTCGGGCTCATTGTAGTTTGCATTTACTTGACCGATAACAAAGCATATACTGATATATGTTTTCCCATCATTGTAAATTTATATTTGCTAAAACATCACTTAAATAGCATCATGTAACTTTCAGGTCTCAAAACTTCATATTCTTGTCGATTCAGTGACTGAAAGCTACGACAAGTTCTTCTTTGGAGAGGTTGGAAGAGAAATATATAATTTCTTTTGGAGTGACTTTGCTGATTGGTATGGCACCGTATTCACTTAATGTTAAACATAAGCTTCATTCTGAAATAGGATTTTTGGTTACTTTTATGCAGTTATATTGTAGAAAGTTCATAAATAAACTACAGCAGAAGTAAAAAGATCAGCCTTCATGTCTAACAATTTTATCTTTTTTTTTTCTGAAAAAATCTGACAATTTTATCTTTCAATGGGCTGATTTCACGAATTTTATTGTAACTGTTTTGCTTTAATAGATTTTTTTTTAAATAAAAAGTTTGATGTGTATTAAATACATGCATCAAGGGGTGCAAAACCTGCGTACAAAAGAATTTATAAATCTGTTAGTATATCAATTAGATCACCTAAGTTCTCTGTTGAATACAACGGTTGTTTTTGCTTCAATAGATATGTCTTATATATCCTTGTGGGTGTGCATATGGCAATAAATCAGTAGTTTGTTAATCTTATACCTCTCTCTCATGAATACAACGGTTGTTTTTGCTTCAATAGATATGTCTTATATATCCTTGTGGGTGTGCATATGGCAATAAATCAGTAGTTTGTTAATCTTATACCTCTCTCTCACTAATACACACACACACACACACACACTATGATGGATTGGACCGGCTGTATCCAGAATATTTTGCTGAAATTGTGAGGAAGATATTGCCAAGATGGCATGCTTTTTATCCTCCAATATAGTGAAATATCAATAGATTAGTCAATTTCAAGTATTGAGGAAGCCGTTGCCAACCAACATTCTTCACTTATCAACAGGTACATTGAAGCTAGTAAAGCTCGCCTTTATCACTCTGGAAGTGATTCAGTAGCTTCAGTAGCACAGGCAGTTCTATTGTATGTTTTCGAGAACATACTGAAGTTGTTACATCCGTTCATGCCATTTGTAACTGAGGAACTCTGGCAGGTAACAGGTTTCAAATGTTTTAACTTGTCTTGCTGCAAGCTGTGTATGGGTCTCTTTCGCATACTAATTTGTTAAGATTTGTTACGATAGAACTAGATATCAGATCATAGTTCACCAACCAAGTGGAAAGAAGTGAGAGACAGTTCAACATCACCATTTTTGCTCAACCAATAGAAGGGAAGAGAGTGAGGGGAGATTTTGGGCCATGTTCTACATAACATGACTTTTCTCTATAGCAAGAATTATTGAATTTCTTTTTCCTGTTCATATCCTTTCTATTCTCACATATTTAACTTACTTGACACTCAGACCATGATTGGTATTATGTCTTTTATTGCGCTAGTTATAGCCCTGCTAGCAGGAGTTTACTTTTCACTTGCAATTGGTTCATTTATTGATCATGTTATGTTATATGTTTAATTTGTGATACTTTTTTTTTGTGATTATTCTGAAATTTTTACTTTCTTGCTGATTGAAGATTTCTCTTCTGAATTAGGAAAAAAAAAATGAAACAAAACAGAAAATGCACCTTGTAGGTTCTCATATTGACATATGTATATGATGCATAATTCATGAGCTATCCATGAACCATTTGCTTGTTTGAAAATTTATGCAGGCACTTCCTAATAGGAGAGAAGCTCTTATAGTATCTCCTTGGCCCCAAACTTCGTTATCGAGGCATGTTAACTCAATTAGAAGATTTGAAAATTTACAAGCTTTGGTGAGTTCTAAATTCTGCTATCTTTTACTGACTTGATCCCTAAACTACTCTGTTGCATCAACTTTAACTACAGCCGAGTTGTACATCCTTTTAAAGGAATAACCTTACATTGTAAAATATGTTTGAGACCACAAAATAGAGAAGTGGAAAAATAGATGGGACAGAGAAGCAAAAGAATAATTAATTTCTATCCTTGTGTACTAGACTAGGGCAGTCCGAAATGCTCGAGCAGAGTACTCTGTTGAGCCAGCAAAGCGTATATCTGCATCTATAGTTGGAAGCACAGAAGTAACTGAATATATATCCGTAAGTAAATCCTTTTCATAGCAATTATCTTTATTATTAAAAAATTGAAAGTCATTCTTTGTGTTCTATTACTATTACTGCGTGGTTTGAATGCAATAATTATCTGCTTGACCTTGGTTAGCAACCTATACATTCCTACTCAGAGCAGTCACTAACAAACTAGACGGCAGGGTGAAGACTTTCTTTTTCACTGGTAGATTGCGGTGTTTGTTAGCATGTGTTAATCATGGAATATGAGTCTATGCATGTCTATACGTTCCATATTAGTTTATTTTGGCAGAAAGAGAAGGAGGTTTTAGCTCTTCTATCCAGACTTGATCTCCATAATATCCATTTTGCGGAATGTCCTCCAGGTATGTTTTCACTTTCCACTTAATTGTCTTTTATCCTTTGGCTGAGATATTTTATTTGTTGTTTTAATCATTTTGGCTTCTTATCAACAAATATATTTCTTCTTTGGGCCCCAAATTCTACTATATTTCAGGGGATGCAGATCAATCGGTACACATTGTTGCCAGTGAAGGGCTAGAGGCGTATCTTCCCCTTGCTGACATGGTTGATGTTTCTGCAGAAGTCCAACGCCTCTCCAAGCGACTCTCCAAGATGCAGACTGAATATGATGGCCTTGTGGCTCGCCTTAAATCCCCTAAAGTATGAATTTATACTGTTAGGCATACATACAAGTCATATGAATACACTCATAGGGAAAGAATGTGCAAAAGTTTTAGATATGACTAAGGTTCATAATATGATCACAACCAGGTAACTGTTAGAATATAAACAAACACCCAAACATTCCAAAAGCACTCCTTGGACCTGCAACGAACTCCAATTTCATCTGATAATCTGTTTAAACATGTCCAGGGTTCAGTTGTCTCTGATAGATGTCTGAAGTCTGAACCCACTGCAGGGAGTTTCATGATGTGGTAACAGGTGAAAGATAAGGTTTATGTTCTTGTAGGTTTAATTAGTATTTCGAGGAGCTCATTCTAGTATATTGTCAAGAAGCTACTTTAGCTGGATAATTTTGAGCTTTATTCTCACAAGCAGATATTAGAATTGGGCCTATTTTGCTTTAGCACGTTACCATTACTGAATATGCAATTGTTGAATTGCATTAAACCAGAAGCCCTTTTTCTGGTAAAAAGAATGGATTTGAGGCTTATTTCAGACATTTTTCATGAACTCCAGGTCACAGCATAGGAAATATAAGCTAATATATTTGGGATGTGATATATGGATTTGTGACCCCTTTGCTCTTACCATACATCTTTTCTTCTTTTTTTTGGGCCCTTGATGTGAGAACAGGGTACCATAAGACTATTTTCTGTACTGCAGTTTGTAGAGAAAGCTCCTGAGGATATAGTCCGTAGTGTACATGAAAAAGCAGCAGAAGCAGAGGAGAAGTTAAATCTAACCAAAAAACGTTTGGCTTTCCTAAAATCAACTCTTTTGGTTTCGAAGTAGATTTGAGCTCACCACATTTTTTGTCGGGAAAACCCGAGCCAGATTCAATACTATGCACCTCCAACTGCTTTAGGTTCAATTTTTCCTGTGTTCGGTGGACCTACTGCAGTTAAGCTGCTGGCAAACATTCAGAGGACAGATGGTCCAGTCAGCCTGAGCCGAATTGGACTTAGCAGCTAATAACAGCTTCATTGTCCCAGTCATGCTGCTCTGCCTGCTATTGATTCTAACATATCATTATCATGTCAATGTATAGTTGTTTTAAATTTTATCCCGTTTAGTACTCATCATTAACATTAACAATATTCTTTGGCAAAGTCAGTCCTATATTTTTTTACCATAGCCATGAATCTTGGTTACCTCATAGACTTGTAACTCAAACCTGGTAGCATTGGAAACCAAATATTTCTGGATGTTTGAGTGGCAGTCTCTTTGCCAGATATTCTCCTTTGGGAGTAGAAAAACTCTGCTTGATAAATTTTATAATAATGGTTTTTTGTGTTAATTGTAAATATATGTGATCACCGTGTAACAGCCATATATCATCAGAAATTTATGACATGTCTGCTACAAGAATTAAACTTACACGTTGAACAAAAATAAATGGAATATATTCACATAACCTTTTTATGAAAAATAGAGCTGTTAAAGAGTTAAAATTTAGGTTTTAATTTAGAGAACAAATTTAGACATGTGTTATATATAAATTTATAAATAAAAAATAATAAATAAATTATGTACTAAATTAAATCCTATACTCTATTTTTTTCTGCGCAGACAAAGCTTTCATGTTCACTGTTTCAGAATCCTCCAAATCGTATAACCCACTAGGGTTCAACCCTTCTGACATCATCTCCCTGTAAACTCCAACAGCCTTCTTCTTGTCACCTTTTCTGCAATAGCTACCAACCAATGCATGATAAACATCAACACTCGGCACCATGAATCTATCTTTCATAATTCTCAAATACCTTTCTCCTTCCTCTGGTTTCCCACATCTGCAGAGGCCACCAATCAAAGATTCAAACACCTGTAATGGAATTCCTAGAGCTCTGTACTCCATTTCATAGTACAGCTTAAAAGCTTCTTCAACCTCACCTCCTTTAACATGCCCAATGATAAGATGAGAATATGTGATTTCATCAGGGATAAATCCTTTCTCCAGCAAAATTGTCAGCAACCCATTAGCTCGCTTCAAATCTTCAATGGCATTGACCTTCTCTAACATCTCGTTGAAAGCTGAACAAGAAGGTAAAGTTCCCTGCTTTACCATTTTCTCACAAAGGTTCAAGCTTTCTTCTACTCTCCCTGCTCTTGCGCAGCCATGGATGAGATGATTGAAGGTCTCAGCGTAAGGTTTTAAACCCATGATTTCCATCTCTTCCAACAATCTATTTGCTTCTTCAATCTTTCCTTCCCTGCAATACGCTCCGATAAACGATGTGTGCAGGAAGGAATTAGGGTTGAAACCTCTCTTAAGCATTTCTTCAAACACTTGCCATGCCGATTCTGAGTCTCCGAGTTTGGTTTTAGCGTAGACAAATAGAGAAAACCCAATGGTGTCAAGAATCATATTTTTTTGCAGTAACCTCTTCGTCAACACCATTGCTTCTTCAATCCTTCCTTCTTCTATAGCCGTAAAAATCAAACTGGTATTAACGATGACGGGAGGAGCACACCTCTTTCCATGGATTCGGTCCGACATGTCAATGAAAATTTTCAATTTCCCTTCCTTGCACAGTGCGCTAACCATGATTCTAATTGTTATTTCATTTGGGTAAATTCTTCTCTCGATTATATGCTCGTAGATTCTCCAAACCAGATCGTTCCTGTCAGATTTCTGAACAACGTGAAGCAAGGAGTTGAAGCTTATGACGCTTAATGTAAATCCATGTTCATCCAAACGCCGACAAACGTCGAACCCAATCTCAATCATTCTCAGCTTGGCGTAACCTTGAACCAGTAAATCTAACACAAGAGGAATGGAATTAGTAACCTGATAAGTATCCAACAAAGAATCCACAACCGAAAATTTTTCTCTCGAGCCATGAACTATTACAGTGTTCTTCAGCAAGGACTCGAGTAACGCTCTTGCATCGATGAGGAGGCGAGCTCGAACCAGGATGTGAATGGCGATACAGTAAGAGCGGATTCCATGGGGGTGGTTTTTGGTTTTTGCCGACCAGTGGAAGAAGCCCAGAGCTCGTTTGGCATCGGTGGGTTCTTTTAGTTGCAGGAGTATTGTATTGATAAGTGAATCGGTTAGATGGATGGAAGAGAATTTTGCAGAGAGAGTTTCCCAGTTTGAAGCTGCTCTAAGTGAATCGCAAATGGCGATGGAAAGTGAAGTGGTGGCGGTGTTTGGTTGGATTTGAGTGTGAGTTTTGAGTAATCTGGTAATTGAAAGAGAAGAAATTGGACGTGGGAGACGGATTGAATTCATTGTTGATGATCAGAGATGAAGTTCACCATTTTAGTTTCTGCAAGTTATCAGTTTAAGCAAAAGTTAACTACTACAATTCATTTCTTTTATATTATTGATAAAATATAAAAATATTTTCTTTTAACTTCCATATATATATGTATATATATGCAAAACCCATGTGCAGAAAACATCAAAACAAGTTCTTTAGCCCACAAAAGAAGCCTGCACTTGCCCATAACCATAGCCATGGACATGGAGTCCAACCCTTCGCTCCTTAAACCCTCTGCTTCTAAATCTAAACTACCCATCAAGCGGAAAAACCCAGAACCAGATCCCATCAATTCCCCACTCCCCGCCAAAAAAACTCCTCCTTTCAAGTCTCACCGTATCTGGACTGATCCCGACGAGATCAGCTTCCTTAAGGGTCTTCTCCAATCTGGCCTCTCCTTTCCCAAAGACCTTCCCCTCTTCTATCGCCGCTTCTCCTCCTCCATGTCCAAACCTTACTCCTATTCACAGCTCTCCGACAAGCTCCGCAGACTCCGCGGCAAGTTCCGCCTCCTTTCCTCCCGTCTCTCTTGTGGCCTCCAACCTTCTCTTCTCTCCCCCCACCACCGAGCTCTCTTCCGTCTCTCTGCTCAGCTCTGGAGCTCTGACTTCGCTTCTTCTTCTCCTTTTGATTTCAGACACCCCACACCTCCTCCTGCTGACGATTTGATTCCAACTCATACACATGCCCCAATTCAGTTTAGTTTCTTGCCTGATGTGCATCGAGGTTCCTCCGACCCTGATCATGATGCCGATCGGGATCGTGCATGTGATGGGAAAATGAGCGAGATGCATGTAGAATGTGATCTTGGCCATGGTGATGGTGGTGGTGGGTTTGTAGGTGCGATTGCAAGGAGTGCTTTAAATGTGTTTGATGAGTGCTTGAAGGACGTTCTTGCGAAACAGGGATTGATTTGTTTGGATAATAGGAAAATCCAAGGTGGTGAAACCAAGGATATGGAAACGAGGTGGAGGGAGCAGCGACTTGCAGAGGTTGACGTGTTTAGAAGACGATTGAGGTTGGTTCTTGACAACTCTCTTAATGGCAGCTTGATTGTGTAAATGATCTAAAAAATTTTAGATTCAGTTCTTAGTTTTTTTATCTTCTTCTGTACATATTGCTCTGTAGGTAATATATATATATATATTGATTTATTTCTTGATGTAATTATGAGTTTGTTCTGTAAGTATTTTTCCTGCTTCACAATGTGAATACATGATATATTACATATATATATTTATCATCAGTTTGCTATGTGCAACTCTGCTGAAACATGTTTGAGATTTCATAAGCATATTCTTGTTGTAGTAATTGAAGGTGGAAAATTAGAAATTGAATTTAATCAAATGGGCTGGAAGTATTTTTCCTCCTGTAGAATGTTAATACATGAATTTGATCAATATATATATATATATATATGATATATATCATCAGTTTGCTATATGCAACTCTGCTGAAATATGTTTGAGAGTTCATAAACATATTCTTGTTGTAGTAATTGAAGGTGGAAAAGTAGAAATCAGATTTAATCAATTAGTAAATCAACTATAGCACCCTAACTTTAACCCATAAAATTTAGAACCCACACACACACACACACATATATATATATATTGTAAAAATTTAATTGAAAACAAACTAAATTTCAAATTTTGATATCTCAAACTCAACTAACAACTAGAAATTCAGATAAATTGGGAAATGAAATACCACTTTATTAATAAGCTAATAATTTGAATATTAAATAAGAACCAACATCCCCATGTAATTTTCTTAACATAAATTGATAAAAAAAAAACAAGAAACAGAGAGTTTGTTTACAGACGTTTGCCTTGGCGACATTGTTTTCCAGGTTCACAGCCTCTGTTATAAGGATTAGCTGGGGTAGGGGTACATTCATTTGGATGTTTTTTACTACACCCCGGAGCCTTACCAGCTTCCTCAATAGGCTTATACTCTATATCTCTGCCCTCTGTATCTCTCGCCAGTAGGACACCCATGAAGAGAACTATAAGAACAAAATCCAGTAGCCTCTTCTCCATAGCCATTTCTCAAGGTTTAATTGAATATTAATCAGTTGTTTTTGATTTGCCTTGGAAATTGGCTATCTATGAAAAGCTTAACTATTTGAGTTCTGGTGGTTTTCAGTTGAACATTTTTTAGTTTATATACTTGATTAGAAGCTAAATAAACAAATTTATTTTCTAAAAGTGGATTAGTAAATTAACTGTAATTTTCTAATTTAAGCTCCTAAAGATTCCTATGTTTTCTCTTAATCCTCAGAAAGTTAATCTTCATCCCACATATTATTAACTAATAATTATATATATAGACATATATATTTTAAAAAAAAAAACATAAAAACCCCAAGTATTTTATTCATAATTAAGATTAACATTGCAAAAACATAACTATTTATTAAAAAATAGAAAAGTAATCTAACACACACTGTTAATTATGAGAAATTACCCATATTGAAGAGTGTACATATACTATAAAAGTGCATGTGAAGAAGTTAAACATGGGATTCAAATTGATTCATGTTTTTGCACAATCTTAAAACACAGTTATATTTTGTATAATATTTGCATAACCTGTTCTGGACTAAAAAGAATCTAAAGACAGATCTTTTGGAAGAATTCAATCACATGAGGCGGCCAACGTAATGAGCCCGAGGATACTTACTCTTTAATTGAGGCCATTGCACAAATATTTGATCAGCTATTCGTAATTTATACAGAACCAAGCCGCTTAAAGACAGCCTTCTCACTCTTGCTATACTCTCGACGTAAAATGTAGATGACCATCTAATCCCCACAACCTGCAATAAACACATCCGCTCATATTTCTTCTTTTGTATAATGGGTTTAATCCATCAATGCAGAATGCCAGTAAAACAGATTGTTGAATAGATACATATATATAAACCTTAAACAAGAAGGCTATCACACAAATGGGGACACAAGTCCCCGGGCCATTGCAGAGAACCTGTAATTAAAATAAAGTTTATATCATCAATATATTCAAGTACTTTCCCGGAGTTAAAAAATGTCACATTAAGTCAAGCTTATGAGCACTGGATTTTAATATTAAAAAAATAATAGTTTTTAAAACTACAATATAATGGTGTATCCACCAGTGCTTATGATTAAAGTTGCAGGGTCGAACTTACAGGAACCTGATCATTTACAGTGACAACACGAGAAGGAAAAGATGTGGAAGGAAAGTTCTTGTACCACTTGGGGTCTGATCTTAATCATTAGCCATAAAGCATGAGCAAGAGCAAGTAAAGTTGTCCAAACAGAAGTCACATATGATTGGCCAACTTCCCTGCTCCTGTAAATCTGCATGAACTGTTGAGGAACATCCTTAATCTCGCTCTGCAGCATCAATCAAAACCAATTTAAGAAAGAACCTTAAATATAATAAGCGAAAATAAGCACGAAATTTTAGTGCAACACTAGAGTAGCTAACAAGTTAAGTAGAATAGATATATATATATATATATCTATACATCATTTCCTTGCATATGAAAGATGGGTAAATATAAAGCACATTTATATACAGGTGATTTTCTACGTCTGGAAATGAATAAGAAAGATTTTTAAGAAGGCCACAGGGTAAACCAGATGGAATCAGAAATTGGTGACAATAAATATATGCTGCCAACACATCAAAAACAATTATGTCCAATGTATAAAGATATTCTCCAACTTTCTTGAAAAGATGTACCAGCATAAATCTCAAACAAAATAATTCATCTCTTTACAAGCATATACTCCAATTATAAACCAACTGAAACATATATTAGCACTAAACATAAATATACCATATCTGCTAAAGAATTCTCCAATGCACGAGCCTTTTGGAGACTCATATTATCAGTGGCAGCAGCAATATAAAATCTAGGTTTAAACCTGTTCTTCTGCAACACAGACAGAAGATCGAGCATCTCTGCTGTGTGTCCCCCTGATAAAACAAAAATTGTAGAGCAGTGATTGCATATTAAAGTAACTAAAAGCAATGGGTGTAAACCTGTTATTCTGCACCAGAGGAAAGAGATCAAGAGTATTTGCCGTGCGCCTCCCATAAAAAAATCGTGAAGCAACGCAGCGATTGCATATTTAGTAACTAAAAGGAACAGTTTTGGAAATTGAAACTAAATTCACCACTCACCAGAACCTAAAATAATGAGAGTACTGAGAGGCTGTGAATCCCTGTGGTGATGGGGTTTCCCCGTTTGGTAGATAACAAACAGAACACGAAACAAGATAACTGTGGCCATGGTAATGATAATGGATGTAATGCTAAAACTTGAAGCCATTGCGGAAAAGAAACAATCACTTTGTTTATCCATTGCAAGAGGCTCATACATCTCTTTCCCAAGAGTTACCTGTGCATCCTACTTTATAAAAACAGGCAAAAGAGAATTACCAAAGTTACAAAGACATTTGCAAATACGTAAGATTCAATTGAGAATTGTAACAAAAATAGATATTTCTAATTTGGCAATAAGATTAAATGAACGAATGTAAGTTTTGACATGGGATGGGTGCCTTCAATTATGAGGGATCAATGCCTGTAACATCTGTATAGGATTGAACTGACAACAGTAACAAAGATGGATACAGCTTCGAAATTAAATGAAGAGATAGATGCTAATTTTGAAACCCAGGATTTAGGCCTTCAATATGAGAGGGATCAAAGTCCAACTCATAAAGATTAATTGGAAAAAAAATTGAACAGAACCCAAGTATGAATTCAAATCACGGGAATTGACATGGATGCACAAGGACATCATCTAATTTTTTTAATTTAATGAGAAAAGATAAGATTTCTTAAAGTATCAAATACATTTTATGTTCTAAGGCAGAAAGATGTTATCACAAGTGTGACCCCCGGATGCTCCAAAAAATTTTAGATGTTTTAGAAGTTGCCACTGATTCAGTTGTAGTTAGAATCAAACCCCAAAAATTGGCAGTGGTTTTTCTGGAGAAATGAGTTATACATGAAGAACGAACAATTAGTTCACAAGACCTGGAGAAAAGGAAATAGAATATGAAAATAGAGTATGAATCCATGAAAAGTAAAATGGAGATTAGCAAGTCACAATGAAGAAATCTTTACGGCCAAATAGCAATACTTACAGAAAGCCCGTGCATAAGAGCAAGCTAAAAGCAAGCCATACAAAAACTAGTCAAGCATTAGTGGAATCCCAAACTTTTAACAGTACATAAGGATGGTTGATTGAATTCATGAATTAACAACTCCAATATTGTCATTCGGAAAAAAAGAATTAGCAAAACAAAAGGAAGCCAAAACCTTTGCATTGTCAGCTTTCTTTGCCCCTAATACCAAATACCATTAAACTAGAAGAGAACCAGCTAACATAAAATCAAGAACAATGTAGAATCCAACTGAACCTCCCATATGTGCAAATGTAAGGATAACAACCAATAAGCAAGTAGCTAGTAAAAGTAAATTCTATACTCGCTGAACTATCATCTGACAGCTATGTCTATAATGCCATGAATCAAAACTCAAAAACACATTCAGGTATCCTTAACAACTTAAGCTGTATGTAGGAGGATTAGATAAAGTAACAGCTGAGATTATATTTACTTTGCATTTGGTCCAAGTTATTCTATTCTCATTCAATTTCTATATTTAATTTATTTGATGTGTAGACTAATCATAATTTCAACCATCCCTACACATGATATCCCCCACTTGCCAACCGTAGAATCATGAAATCACCTACCTTAAATTTAACGCAAATTTGACAATATTATTCTAATTTTTAAGTTTTACATTATTTTTATTGTATTCCTATAACTATATATGGAATTCGAGCTCAAGCTTAGTATAGACTGCATTGTAGTTAACCCAGAAAAACACAAACAAGAGAAACACCCTATAAATTCAACAAACATGTTTTTAAGAAAAAAACTACAATTACTCAAGTCTGAAATAAGTCCAAGCCAAATGCAATTTGTTCATAACAGAAACTACATGCACAAAAGAGAAGTAAAACTACAGTAAAGAAGTTCAACCATGTAAACAAATAAGCTGGTTACGCTCAGAATTTACCAAAAGCAAAGCTAGATTTCGTGAAACAAGCTTATAGAATCTAGTCCAAGTACAGACCTAATTCAAAGACATTTTACCAAACAACAAAAAATATTTCTAACATGAAATGACCAAATATTAACCAAACTGAAGTCAGTAACCAAGCATCCGAATCTATTCAGAACAACGAAGATAGACAAAGGAATAAGGACTTACCTGGTGGAACCTTGCGAGTGGAAGCTCAAGATAGCAGAGATGAGATTCAGCGACGATGACCGTGTGGAAGAGGAGATGGTTTCGGCGGCGCTAAAGCACTGCAGTTAAAGCAATAGAGCGGAAAGGCGATGGTATGGCGCTGTACGACGGGGAATACCAGAAACTGGCCAAGGAAGGAGAAGATTAATGAAACTACAGAGGATCTGGTGATGGAATTTTCGATATTTCACTGAAGGACCCTCGCAGAGACGAGAGAGCAAAGGCGCGAGAGAAAGGACGAGAGGAGAGATCCCAAGATGAAAAAGAAGCCCAAGGGCCGAAAGGTGATAATTTGTGGAAACCGTCGGAATGGGCCGGGCTCAGTTCGGCCCAATTAATATAATTAAACGGGTTGGACAAGCTTGGTCCGGTACGGTTAGGTAGTTAAGACTTAAAAATTTTCAAAAATAATTCAAATAATTATTTAACTAATTAACTAAATTAATTTACTTAATTAATTAAAATTGTTGTTTAAACTATTTTTTTACTTAATTTAATCATTTATTTATACTAAAATAATACATCAGGTTACAAAATAACGTTAACGTTAAGCTACTTACTAACTGTTCTATATATATATATATATAGTCCGATCCCAGTTAAGCCATGTTTGGAAGGAACAGAAGCAATCCATTGCAGATCTTGTCTTGAAATTTGAAAGTAAGATTTGGGTTTTGTATAGCTTGCTGCCTACAACGTATATAGTCAATTAATGTCATAAATTATAATATTTTTTGCAGCATAATATAATAATAAGATTATAATATAATTATATTCATCATTCATAGTTTAAACAAAAATAACAATCCACTTAATATATATATATACATATGTTAAGTGAATATTTTTATATTCGGATTAATATTATTTTTACTAAAAATTTCAGATTTTTTAAATTCTATAAACATTATTTATATAGAATTTTTCATTTTATATAAACGGCCGATATTTACCAAATTGCTCTTGTAATTAACTCCAATTAATTATCATAACACAAGATTCCTCTTTTAAGAGAAATTGATTGAGATATATGGGTATTAATTAAAATTAATTGGAAATTATTAACTTAATATTTTTAAATTATTTATTAATTTTTTCCCATTGATGGAGATGGAGAAAAATATTTTTTAATCGCTAAAAAATAAAAAAATTATTATTATTAAATAAATTATAATAATTTTAATGTAATATATATATATATATATATATTGGAAAAAGTGCAACTAACTCCTCTGACAAAAAAAACAATCGAAAAATGAAAAAAGGGCAAACGGCAAAAGGCAGAAAGCCGAAGTCTTTTTTTTATCCAAACATGGGAAAATGGTCCAAACATTTTCCACTTTACTATTTAATTAATTAATTATTATATTATTCTACGTCACACTCATCTCTTTGACCAATAATATCATTCCACGTCAGATGAATCGGACAAATAAATATAAAAAATTAAAAAGTATTTTAAGTAGATAACTGATTTTATTCAAGGGGAAAATGACGTCATGATCGGTGAATCGGATGGTTCTTCGGGTTGTGAGATCCGGTGGGGCCCAGCGTGCAGATTACGGGTGTTTTAGCGAGGAAGAATCGAGTGGAATGGAATCATTTGTGAAGTACTTAAAAATCTTTTGGCGTTAATTACAAGGTGGTCTTAATTTTGAGTGTAATTACAAGAGAGTTCCTTAATTTTAAAAAAATTGTAATTTAGTCCATGTATTTAAATAATATTATGAAATCAGTCCAATTTAAATAATTTTACTAAAGAATAAATTATAAACACAACAGCTTGAAGTCGTCAATGCTCTCAAGAAAAATAATTTATTTATTTATTTTTTTATCAATAATTTTAATATTTGTTAGTTTGTTGGATTGAATTGAGATATTTAGGAGTATTGTAATTTTTTTCAAATTAATGCACCCAATTATTATTATTGCAAAAAATCAGGGACTTCTCAGCAATTTAATATATGTTTATATAATTTAATTCAATTATAATTATTATGAGGAAGTAAACCTGAAAATTACAGCTCCTGCCCCTACTGTGGACTGTTGCCTTGGTGGTGGGACCCACATCAAGTAGCGGCGACAAAAGAATCCTCGTTCATATTGGATTCGATTGTATTTCCCTTTTTGCCCCTGAATTTTCAGGCATTATTTTTTTTTAAAAAAAGGAAAAATCTGGCACGGCTTCTCTAATTAAAAATATTAATTTTAATAATTTAATCAGCAAATAAATTTCGTATTTTTTATTTTATAAGAATATTTAAATTAAATTTTAAAAAAGATAATATTAGTTATTACGGTATTTAAATAAGAGGTCAATGGCATTTTCGATATTTCCGTCCAATAAATGTTTAAATCCGACATAAATATTAAACACATGAGTTGAGAAATCCACGTGTCCTTTGACATAGAGTCCCTGTCTTTGTCCTCACCTTCAAAGACCCGACCCGCTTTTTAGACGCCTCGCTTCTCCTTTTATACTCCCTGCTGTGATCTCTCTCTCTCTCTCTCTCTCTCTCTCCTCTCTCTCTCTCTCCTGACAAACACAGTGCTAGAGAGAGAAAACTGAAAGCTCAACGGCAATGGATGAGGATTCGGCTTTGATCGAGCAAATTCTCAGAGAAGACCAGCAACAGAATGGTGTAGGAAGCCATGAAAACGATGCCTACGCTTGGAAAACGGTGTCGTACCAGAAGCGAAACAAGAAGGCTTTGAAACCATCGCAGGAGACTATCGCCGGCGATCTCCGCCTCGACACTGCTTCCGACGTTTTCCGAACGATCGAGCAGTACTCGGAGGATCGTCGCAGGCGAGCCGCAGAGGCGCAGAGGGCCGCCGCGGCGGCTTCTGCCGTTGATGTCGTCGCCATCAAAGGATCGAAGCGGCATTCGGACGACGAAGACAGCGACGAGGAGGCTCCCGGCGCGGAAAATGGCGGCGTCGTCGAGGTGAAGAAAACGAAGCCGAAAAAGCCGAAGAAACCGAAGGTTACGGTGGGGGAAGCAGCGGCGAAAATTGACGCCGCTCATCTCGGTGCTTTTCTTGTCGATATTACCGTGAGTGATTAAATTCTTATTTTGTTTTTTAATTTTCTGTTCTCTGGACTGATCTGTTTCTTCCTCTTCTTAATTCTCCCCCGCTTTTGTCATTTATTCTGTTCTGTTCTGCTCTGTTTTTGTTTTTCTTTTTAAATATTTTCATTTCTGTTTTTGGTTGTTTTAGGCGTCCTATGAGGAGCAGCAAGATATACTGCTGATGCGGTTCGCTGATTACTTTGGCCGCGCATTTGCCTCAGTGACTTCGTCCCAATTCCCCTGGTTGAAGATATTCAAGGAGTCTACTGTCGCAAAGATGGTTGATGTGAGTGTCCATCATTTTGTCAATGATTATGGTTTATTATATCCCTTTTTTTTCTTCCGGTGGTTGGTAGGAGGCTTGTAAAAATACTTTAAGGACAAAGGTTTTCCAGATTATCTTTGCCTAGTACAGTGTAATCCGCACTGTGAATTGGTGTTTTTTTTTAATTTAACTGGTCATGCAAGAGTTTCCTGGTGGAAAAATGACTTATGGAAATGGAGAATTTTGATGTGCTTTTACGTTTATATAGGTACATTTACATGAATTATATCTCAATGCGTCTAGTAAAACTTTAGCCATTTCAACAGTTATTCTGTGATGATCAGTAAGAGAAATTCAACAGACTGTAATGCAAGACGATCATGCATGGTGGTTTCAATGACTGTAACATCACTGTTGCCATTGATTTCTGGCTTTACAAATGGGATTTGATTTTAATTGTGGTTTTGCTCTCAAACAGATCCCTTTGTCTCATATATCTGAAGATGTTTATAAAACCTCAGTTGACTGGCTTGCCCAGCGATCTCCTGAAGCACTTGGGTCTTTTGTATTATGGTCATTGGATAGCATTCTCGCTGACTTTGCAAGCCATCAAGGCACTACCAAGGGATCAAAGAAAGTAGTTCAACAAACATCTTCAAAATCTCAGGTAGTTGTTTGGTCATAACTCACTCTATTTGTAGAAAAAGCAGACAGATGAATTTATTCCTGATTAAAGGTACTACATGTGATTATCATGTTTTTAACAAATTCAGGCATCATATTGAATTTTTCTAACTTGCACCTTTTTTATTGTTACATTCAGTGGACACACTTTTCTAGAACCATCTTACCGAATGTAATAGTAAATTGTTACATTGCCAAGTTACCAATTTTCCCGTGGACCACTCTAACATATTGTTTGTCACAATGACATCAATGAGTCTTTCTAACTATTCTGTAACTTCCATGTTATCCATTGTCATGACAATATTATGTTTCTTTAGATGTATTTTGGGCATTGTAGTTAAAACTCTTGCACATTTATCATATCTTAGCTTTCATATATCCATTTTTCCAATAGTATTGGGTATCTTTAGGCATATTGATCGTGATTGTAGTAAACACATGTCATATTCTTGCTTAAATATTTTTATCGGGTATCTTTAGGCATATTGATCGTGATTGTAGTAAACACCTGTCATATTCTTGCTTAAATATTTTCATCAGGTATCTTTAGGCATATTGATCGTGATTGTAGTAAAACACGTGTCATATTCTTGCTTAAATATTTTTTAGGATCTATTATTGCTATGATCTACCATCTCTATCTGAAAAGTCTCTTTTGGGAAGAAATATTTTGAATTGTGTAACTGTGGGAGACTCCTAGCTTCTATCAAGTGAAAAATATAATTGCAGTTTGCATTGCTGATTTTTGTCTGTCTTCTACTATGAGAGGAGCTAGAAATGAACTTAATTTAATTTCTGAAATCTGGTTTCTGATTTTTTTTGGCTAGTCCCAGTTCAATATAAGAACCAATTTTCAGGTACGAGTATTTGTTTTGCACTTCTCGGAGTAATATTGGATATTCTTTATTTTCCTTTTTCCTTCACTTCATTCTAGTTCTCCCTCTCTTTTTCTTTTTATATGCTTCTTTTCCATCTTTGCATCTGCTGTAGATATATTTTCCTTGTCATAAATGCTTGAATATAGGCCCGAATACTAATCTTCTTTTCTATGTCTTATTTATCATCATAATTTCTAGATTTGTCTTCTATGATCTACCTGTTGTGGCTAATAGTATTGCATTAGTATAACCACAATTGCATTGCAACTGTCTCAATTGATTTGACATTGCACATTGTACAACTGAGTAGTAAATGTAAATTGTGTTATCGATATGACTATGGAAATGCAGGTTGCCATATTCACTGTTTTGGCAATGACACTGCGACGGAAGCCTGATGTCTTAATCAGTTTGTTGCCTATAATGGGGGACAATCTAAAGTATCAAGGACAAGACAAGCTTCCAGTCACCGTCTGGGTGGTTGTACAGGTGATTATAAATTGATTTCTTAATTTTACCAGATAACCAATAACTACTTCTGATCTGTCAGTATTCAGAATAGCTTGACAACTGTTTGGACAGGCGTCCCAAGGTGATTTGGCTGTTGGGTTGTATATGTGGGTACGTCTTCTCTTGCCCGTGCTGTGTGGCAAGTCATGTAATCCACAGTCCAGGGACTTGATTCTTCAGTTGCTGGAGAGGTTGGACATTTCTCATATTCAACCAAATCTTCATTCTCTCCCTTTTGCATTATGAAATTCTTATTCTAAAGAAATCTTCAGGTAGCTGATGGCAGATGTATAGAGACATGTTGCATCTTATTAATTTGCTTCTTTCTCACATTATCTTTTTTTTTTTTTTGGATTATCCGATTTCAGAATGTTGTCCTTGCCTAAAGCTCGCACTATTTTAGTTAATGGTGCTGTAAAAAAAGGGGAACGCTTGGTGCCCCCATCAGCTCTTGAACTTCTGATGAGAGTTACATTCCCATCCCCATCAGCTCGGGTTAAGGTGGTTCCAGCTTTAAAAAGAAAGAAATTAATGCTTTGATATTTCTCACAGAAATTTGAAGTCTGAGGCAATGAATTTAATCTCTGTGTAGGCAACAGAGAGGTTTGAAGCTGCTTATCCAGTCTTAAAAGATGTTGCGCTTGCTGGTTCCCCTGGAAGTAAAGCAGTGAAACAAGTTGCTCAGCAGATATTGCCCTATGCAGCCAAAGCTGCTGGAGAAGGTAACAAGAAATCCAGCCAGTCGCTTTCCATTTAATGCACTCCATCCTGGTTTCTCCTCTAAATTTTGGGAGACTAACGTATGTAACTTCTTGTGAAATACGATGTCTTCTGCAGGGGTTGCTAACCTATCTAGCGAAGCATGTGACATTTTTATTTGGTGTTTGACCCAAAACCCTGAATGTTACAAGCAGTGGGTATGCATTTTTCTTATCAATACTTTTATCATATGCTTGCACTCAGAGTGAAAGGAACTAAAAGAAAGTGGGGGACTATTCACTGCCTTTTCTCTTCTTTAGATAAAAAATAAAAGAAAATACAATAAAGCAAGAAACAATGAGCATTCCTGACTCTCTTAATTTTTTTTAAAGTCACTCCTAAATGTAGGGGGAAATTAGAGGGAAGGGAAAGAATTTGAAACTTCAAAAATAAATTCTCTATTTTATTGAATTATCACTTTATTAATAAAATGTATAATTGAAAATATTCTTATAATCAATCTTTTCCTTGTCTTTATGCACTTGAAAGTGTTACAACAAACTTTTTTTTAGCTATATAAAATTTTAGTTATTCAGATTGAGGAAGCATCTTTCCTTTAAAACCTTTTATTTCTTTCATTTTCTGTCTATTCCTTTCTAATTTTTATCCAAACATAATTGGTCATGCATTTATGTGATGAGTCCCTTCGAAGAACTGTTTGTGATGAGAGATGTAATTACATCATTGCATTTTCAATAATGTCTGGAAGCAGGATGTGCTATATCTTGATAATCTCGAAGCAAGTGTTTCTGTTTTGAGAAAGTTGTCGGACGAATTGAAGAAGAAGTCCATTAAGCATGCTACTCTTGACCCTTTAAAGCAAACAATGAAACGTTTCAGGCAAAAGGTATGTATTTTTGACAAGGTGCTTTTGGTCCTCAACTGTGTGGAAACTATTAAGCATATTCATGTTTCCTTCATATTTTGTTGTCTAAGAACCAAATTCCCCTCTCCAATAAAAAGAAGTAGAATTGAGTTGCATAAAAACTCAAATATTATCACAGTTATTCCTGGTTGGAGTTACAATTTACCATATTTCCAATTGAATTCTAACATTGAACACTGGGGCTGATCAGTTTGTTTTCTGTGCCTAGAATGAGGAAGCCTTGACAGAGTCTGAAAATGCCGATTGTGCTACATTGTTGAAGGATGCAGACAAGTACTGCAAAATAATTTTAGGACGAGTTTCTCGTTGGGGTGGATGCCTGAAAAGCATGATTTTCGTTTCTGTTGCCCTTGCTTTAGGTGCTGCCATCATGTCACAAAACATGCAAGATTGGGACTTGGACTTGAAAAAACTGACTACAATGTTCAATTTACAATGAACCCAGAGAGAATTCTGCGAAAAACTGTTGGGCAGCATAGTGGCTCATATAATTCTGGTATGTTTCATTATGTTCTGCATAGACCAGGTCAAATGGTCTTGAAGATTACTCAGTGCAAGATGGCATGAAGAGTTTCTTTGAATTGCAGACGCTAAGAAGCAGCAGTGCCTGGTGCCGGAATTCTGCAAGCTGAACATTCTACAGACCGTGATGCTGTCTGGTTAGGCTTGAATTCAGTTATAATGACTCGTTATTATTTGATGACTAATTTATAGTGGTTTGTGTCTATGTCAAATTTTGAATCATAAATAATTGGAATTATACATGGATGAAAAATGAATCTCGGAAAGAGATGAATGCTTTAAACCATAACAAATTGCTTTTTACATATACAGTGTTTTTAAAAAATCTGTCACATATCAATAGATTTAGTATATCCTCTGATCTAGTTTTACCGTCTGGTGTGTTTATACCAATAGATTTATAGAAATATTTTGAACATGTTCTAGTAAAAAAGGGTCTGTCAAAAAAACTTGTACTTCTTCAGTCCTGACACTGCATTTACTGATTTAACTTATAGAAGATGAATAGGAAGAAAATGCAGGGAATATTTAGCACGAAGATGGTGTGAATCAATGGGATGTATGTGGATCTGGTAGGAAATTAGTCTCACGGGATGTCTCATGTTCTTCTGGTGTATTATTAAGTGATGTAGATTATACAAATTTTTTTAAAAACCAAATCCAAAATAGTAACAGGAGTTAAAATCAGAATTAGTATTTTTCAAATCTAAGTAAATACAGTAAAACTTCATCTTTTTTAAAAAAATATATATATAAATATGAATTTGTCGAAGAGAATTGAATAGTTTAACCAAAACTTGTATCATTAAATTCAAAGCTCAAGTCTCTTTACAATTTTATCCTTGTAATTGTAGTTTGTTGTGTGGTGTTTCCGAAACTTATTTGTGATTTTATATGTCTAATATATTGGAATGAATAAACATTTCTCTTCTACGTGTCCCTAGAGTTTTTGAACAATCCGAACTCTCGGAAATATATAGAGAAGTAAAGTACGAATGTACCCAATGAACCGCACTCCTTTATATACGTCAGAAGTCCATCGACGAAAAGGGGTTGAAGAAAGATCGAACCCAATTCCTATAAGTGCAGTCGAAATTTATAAAGATGCATACATTTGAGTATTATTGACAAAACCATTAACTATTTCTTGAAATAGAAGAATTTATCTCACCCACGAGTAAATCTTTCGTTTTAACCCATTTAGCCTACAAACAAAGTGAAGAAGATGATGCAGCCGGATTTCAAAATCAATGCGAAGCGATAAGGAGGTTAGTGATGATGATGTAAACATGAATGGGCCTTGTTTGTCCTTTTACTAAACTAAAGCATGTGCAAATTGAAACTCTTGAGGATTATGATATAATAACTCCTTTTCCTATCCGTATCAAGGATTATGATATCCTTGATTTAAGAATTCTTTATTTGCTTCATATACGAGACGTATATGAATTCATGCTTTTACTAGCACAATATATATATATATATATATATATTTCAGCCTTTTAGCTAAGACTAAGTGTAGTCCAAATAAAAAAAGATTTCTGAGAACCGAAAAGGAAACAAAAAAGAAAACCCTCGAAAGCTCCAAAAGAGATTTGACACCAATCACGCAAATAATTTTCATTTTCTTTTATTAGGATCTAACACAAGATTATCTTCTTACTGTAATTTTATAAATACAGTGATATATAATATTAAGAAGTTTATATTTTTAATTAAATTTACAAGTACCCTTTTATGAAAAAGACATAAGCTAACGTTGAAAAAATTGCGAGACCAGACAGAAATTAGATGACAAAGAACACGCCGCATTTATCGCTCACTTAAATCAACCAAAAAATGAAAAACCATCATACCATATCGTGGTAAAAAGATTTTCTGCTCCCAAAATTCACGCCTTAGAAAAAATGGATCATATACATATACGGTGTGTGTGTATGTACGTACCCTTTCCTATCACTTCATCACTATAAATATCGCCTCCCCTCTCCTCCCTCTTCATCATCCTCTTCGATCTATATTCATATATATATATATATATATATACAAACATGGCAACTTCTCGAATCTCACTCTTCTTAGTAGTCTCTCTGCTTCTTCTGATTACCTTCTCTAACATAGCCGAGGTAAACATATATATATATATATGTATGTATGTCTTGTATTTACAATACATAAGGAAACAGTTAGATGGTATCTAACTTCTATTTTCTCTTCAAATAATTCAACTGCAGGGTTATGGTCGAGTTAAGCTCAGATCGTCATCAGGTAAGCATGCATGGGTTATAACCATATTTCTTGCTTACACGTTATAATATATATATATATATATATATGTGTGTAGACATGTGTATATGAATATTTGGGTATTATATTATATATATGTGTATATACTGTGTAGAATGCAGGCCAAGATGTATGTATCGTTGCTCGGCAACATCACACAAGAAGCCATGCATGTTCTTCTGTATAAAATGCTGCTCCAAGTGCCTCTGCGTCCCTCCTGGTACTTACGGCAACAAGCAAGTCTGCCCTTGTTATAATAACTGGAAGACGAAGGAAGGAGGACCAAAGTGCCCTTGACCTAATTTCTTCTTCTTCTTCTTCTTCTTCTTCTTCTTCTTCCAATTTTTCAATATTAATGTATTTGTTTCAGTAATTACTTCAATGTCTTAATTATGTAATCACCTTATTAATTAAGTTAATATTAGCATTTATAATACTATCCAGAGAAAATAAAAAGAAGTTTGAGATTATCTTTTTTTAAAATATAAATTATTTTATACATCATGTGGATGAATCTACACATATAGTTTAAATTAATTAAAAATTATACATTTTGATTATTGTTTATATTTAAAATTTATCGTGGAACAGATTCGATACAAATTTTACTAAATTTTGATCCGATCAGTATATATGAACAATAAATGTAAATTTACTCTGAGTGGGTATTTTTTTTTTCAATTATATTTAATTAATAAGTTATCTGATCTAAAAGTCTGATGTAATTATTTTATTATATTAATATAAATATAATTATAATTTATTAAAAATTACATATAGTAATATAGTACTTATATTTATTGACATAAATATAAATATATTAATAATAAAAAAAATAAAGAAATATATTATTTACATATTTATTGAGTTGGGTTTGGACCGATTTTAGAAGTTCAAACCTGACTCACTTGACTCGACTCTTTTTCTCCGCAAACCTAAAATTTAATCCCACCCGAATCTACACTTAACAAAAAATAAATCGTATTGGATCACGTTAAGATGGGTCAATTACACAGGTTTGAGGGCAAAATTTCATCCATAGACAGAAAATAATTGATTTTTTTTCCGTAAAATTTTTTAAATAAAAATTTATATATTTTACTAATTAAAATAATATTTGTGCATCAATAACAAAAAATTTTAATTTTGAAATTCCAATTTGATCTTAGAATATAATTTTCACCATCTCATTTGAGCCCTTTTCAATTTATCCTAAGCCCCCATGTTTATTTCCATTTTTTTTTTAAAGTTTCCCATTTTGATAGTCTACTTTCACCATTTCAACTTACTAAATGTTTGGTTGCATGACCTCAAAATATGTTCCATAAAGAAGTAGTATGTACTCGTACTCGCCACATACTACTTCAAACGAATTTAGATCTAAATTACCCGTCCTACCATACGAGAAATTTTATATACTCATCACCAAATTTGTTATCCTCTATTTGTTCGTTCCACTACTCAATATACTACATATAATTTTTATCATTCATAAACTAGACGAAATATATGTAGATAACGGACAAGTATATATGCATTGTTCGTGCTCGTCCCATACTCAAAACGGGTATATTTTTGCCCCATACCCACCTTATGCTTCTTGTTATTTACCAATTTACTCACTCTTAGTGTTAGGGTTATGGGTGAATTAGTGGATAATCCACCCTATTGACCATTCTTACATTTCACTCTTCTATTTGATGGTGTGAGTTTAAATAAACAATTGATTAAAACTCTATAAAATTCAACCTATAGGCCATTAAGCTTAATTGGGCCTAAAATTAAGCCCATAAGGGTACAACCCAAGTAGAATTTATGGGCCAACCCATCAAGCCCAGACATCAAAAGCGCATTATACGGCGTCGTTATACTCTCTCACTGGTCTCGCCGATCGACAATGAGAAGATGGGGGTTTAGGGTTTCATTTGGGAGATACAGACAAGTCTGAGCTGGAGAGGGAGGAGCCGTGCAATCGAGAGGTGCCTGAGGAGGAAGACGATAAGGAAATAACCCATCCCGCATTACGTGCGACCATGACAGACCAGGAATCTAGTACGAGCAGAGGCAAATGAGTAGTGAGGGAAGGAACAGTTGTTGACTGAGACAAGAAAGGATCTTTTAGAGGAATTCTCTGCTGTTAGAGGCTCAGGGATAGGGGTAAGTAAATTTACTCTCTCTCATTCTACCTATTTGCTTCCAACTGTAATTGGATTTGAGACAAACGAAAGTAGTTCTTACTTTTGGTACTCTAGATTGAATGACTCAGAATCTATTTTGTTTCCTTTCTCTGTCCCAGCAGCTCATTGAGCTCATGCTTTTGCATCAAATAAGTCTAGTAGCAATCACCCAATATATCTTGTGATTTGAGTGGTTGGCATGAGATATTGAAATAGTTAAAACGTACCAACGGGAATACTGGAATATGGTGAGTTATGATTGAAGAAAATGAATCATTTCCGTTCAATGAAGTGCCCTTGGGATTGTTTAATTTGTTTTTGGGACGACAGTGTTTGAGAAGATGCGGAAGGAAAACTCTGTTATGCAATGGGCTTGGTGTTTGATTTACTAATTTGAATTTTTGTTTTGTGGGCTTGGGAAATGATCATGATAATATGCTGGAACTGAAATGATTTTTTTTGGATTGACACGTATTTCTTCTAAGGTTTTTGTTTCTGTTTCTATTATTGGGTGCATGAAGGAGATTTCTGTTTCTATTGATTGGAGTTATTTTCTGAGTGGTAGTTTTGGATATTTTATGGTTCATTTTCCTTCTTTTTTCTTGGTTTTCCATCATATGTTGTTTCTGTATCATGTGAGAAATGTTTCCATTCTGTGCTTTATCCATTATTTGCATGATTGTTACTTCAGTTCTTATTGATCATTTGGTCACACCAGAGCATGCCTTAGCCTCCCTCTTTAGGTTCATTTCCGGCTTCGATTGACTGCCATCGGGTTATGGTATGTTTAATTATATTTGGATGTTTAAAAATGAGGTATATAGTTATTAGTCTGCTGTCCAAAAACATACTTTCTTTTTGTCTTGTAGTTATTGCCTTGGCTGTAGGTAGTTATTGTTTTTTCATTTTCATTATGGCTTGGTCTGATACAGACATAAGAGCTTTAGTTAGTCTTAGACATAGAACACAAGGTAGAAATTTTTTTGCCAAAATTATCTAACTATGCTTTTAGGTGAGTGCTTTACATCTTACCTGAGAGCATTTCCGAAAGCCAAGTTTCTCTAGAATTGACCAATTTTACAATTAGTCTTTGATACCATTTCCAATAAGATTAGTAGCAACTCTTTCTTTTTTATTGCGAATGATTTATATTTTATATTAATAGCTAGAAAGATTAAATTTGAGCCATATATTCCACCGATATATGGGTACCTTGATTATAAGTTGGCACTGTTTGATTATAATCATGAATCAATTTTCAAGAGTATTTTTGTGAAGAGAATATAAATCTAGTTAAATAACCTTCTACTCAGAAGAAGTTTTAAAAAAAAAAAATTTAGTAACAAAGTTTATCATAAGACATTGGAAAAAAATTACAGAAATCCATGATTATTAAGACTAAGCTCAAGGTTATTATGATCATTTTCTAGGTATCTTGGCTTAAACCCCGTAGTTGGAGCAGAAGAGAGACAAAGAGGGAGAGAGAGAGAAGGGGAATTGGAAAATGCTGAAATTTTTATCAAAAGTAAGGATCGAATTCAATGCATTGGATCCACGCATAGCATCGTGCATGGAGTTCTTGGCCCAATGCAACGCACGCAAGGCCAAGGAATCAAATCCAGCTTGCCAGTTGATTGTGAAGCGCCGCACTGATGAACACCCACCACAGATCTCGGTAACCTTCGTTAATGGAGTTGAGGAAACCTTCGATGCCACTTCAACCCCAGCCCAGACAATTAGGAGCATGATTTTGGAGAAGGGTCAGTACCTTGAGACTGAGCAGATGTTTCGTGAAGCTGGCGAGAAGTGGCCAGTTATCATCCCTGAGGAAGAGCTTTGCCAACCTGCACCAGGGACCAAGGTGTGTGATGTAATTCCTAGGGTTGTCTTGATTGTTATTTTTAGTCCTTGGTTGTGTTTCATTGAACACTTGCCCTGTGAATGTTCTTATATGAATTACTATTTCTGACTCCAACATCAAATTTTTTTTCCTGTTGGATTGTTAATGAGAAATATTGCTATTTGCGTGATATCTGCCGGTCATCTTGATTGTGTGATCCTCTATTTATTGGTAATATATTCTGTTAAATTTTCTTCCCAAGGCATTTTATCTATCAGTTTGTGTGAGAGGGGGTCTCCTTGATTTTCAAATGATAGCTGTGTTCTACTGATATTATATGTTTCATTGTCATTCATCTGGAGCAAGATAAAGGCCCAGGCCTATATCCAGTCAAGCTTAGGGTTAGCGGTAGATTATCCTATTCAATGATTAAGGTTAAAAGTCATAGGAAAATTTGTGATTGGTGTTTAATGGCTACCAAATGGTAGTAGCATATATGTATAATATTTTTTTTAAATAAAAAGTAGTCTGTATATTAACAATGTACTCTAACAAAACCGGAGTACCACCCAAGTACAAAAGATTTACAATAAAATTAGTGACTCAACGTTATTCCCAAAAGCCTCATCACATATAATGTTGTGACCTCTAATTGGATAGATCCAAAATAAAAAGCTCATCACATATAATGTTGTAACATAATTGGATAGACCCAAAATAAAAAGTAGCATATATGTATAATGACTCCCAACATTTGATTTGTGCCACCATTAAAATGTTTAACTTTTTTGGTTGCTACAAAGTTATTGCCAGACCTGGTATGTTATGAGAGTTAGAGCTATTTCCTACATTCTGATGTGGCTATATCTTTTCTTCTTTTGCAGCCAAGGAAAGCAGAAGAAAAGCAGTGACATTATCTTTTCTCAACTACATTTCGGTTGGGATAATTATTGGCATCCATTGGATTTTCCAGAAGGAAAGAGAAGATGTAGAACATTACTATTAATATGTTGGTTTCGGTTTAGTACCGGCGCATGGGCTATTAGATGGATGTCACTGGTTTTTCGTTGTACGAGTACGAATACCAAAACCCGTTTTTTGGTACTCTGGATTTCTCTGCTTCCTGCTGTGGGGGAAATGGTTTTGGCACTCATGATAGTCCAAATAAAAGCCAGTCTAGGGTTCATGCTTGAATAAGTTTTTTGCTTGTTATAGAAGAAACAGGGTTTAAGTGCATCATTGTTCATGTTATAAATAGGTTTGGTTTTTGGCTGCAGTTTGTTTGGAGGATTCTTGATATCTGTTCAGAATTTTTACAATTTAGGTCTAATTTGAAAAGAGTATGCTGTTTAATTAAATGTTTTCCCATACCTATTTTGAGGTAGGTGAGAGTTGAGGACTGGCGGGACCATTTTACTCTTCTTAATATATTATACATGTAATATTATATGTATATATTTTAATATCTATATGTATATATAGTATATTAATTACGAAGAATGTGACCCACTGATGGAAAGTACAGTACAAGAACACACATATCCTCAGACAAAGGACAATCTTGTCACTTCAAAGTGTAAATAATATACCATTTGCTACATCAATGATCTGTATCAGCCCATGATTGAATCATCTGAGCCGTCTGATCATCATCTGTGGAACCCACCCGTTTGGCCATTTCTTCCCCCTTTCTCAGGAGGATAAAAGAATTGAAATAAATTGAAAATTCTAAATGTACTTGAATGGGCCTTGGACTGGGCTTGTGAAGTGGGCCGAGTTTGGGCTGGGCCAGATTTTGCCAAGGCTTCAAAATAATAATAATAATTATTATTATTATTGAATTACATAAATTAACTTTAAATAAATTAAATATAAAATAATCATAAATAATATATTTAAAAATATAAAAATAGTAAGACCATCCGATATAAATTGAGCAGATTTAAAAATATTTACCATTTTTGTCCCATCATATATTTAATTATAAGATGACAATATAACCAAATTAATTGACCCATTGATTTTTAATTAACATTAATTAAAGTATCTAATTAAATTAAATTAATTAATTAATTTAAATATTTTTTTTCAATTTTAACTAAAGCCTAATACTCCTTTGTCTTTAGTAAATATCACACTTTGCCACCCACTAAAATATTTTATTAAAATTACATTTTATATTTTCTATAAATTTATTAAAAGGGAAATATATATTAATAAACAAAAAGACAACTTATAATTTCTTAATTTAATTTAATTTACCATGCAAGTACAATAAATATAATATATCAATAATTTTGTCACTTTATGTTTTTTGTACTATCAATTGACTAAGTTAAAATGATGCTGCAAAATTTTATTTTTTTATATCTAAAAATATTTAATTATATATATATATATATTTTTAATTCTGAGGATAGGGACCAAATCATAATTACAGAAGCACGGACAATCCTGAAACAAATGGATAATCTTGTAATTTCGGAAACCAAAAAGGAAAATAAAAAATATAATTTCCACGTCAGCAATCCGGGTGAGATTTAGATAAAATGATACGAGCCGTTGGATTGTCATCCGGTAAAGAAATCAAGACCGTTGGTTGATGTCCAAAGAGGAAAAGAAGAGAGAAAAAGTAAAAGGTCCCCCCCCCCCCCCCCCCCCCAGATTGATGTGTGTCGTCCCAATTATAAATCTCGAGAAAAAGGAAAATTCGAATTAACCATCTAGAAAAATAAGGAACAGTAGTTGTGGGAGTCTGTGATTTTTGAATCAGCTAGTAGCAGTAGCTGCTGGTTTGGATTTTGGTGGGGACTCATCTGACTGAGACTTTCTCAGGCCATTTTCTCTTTCATTTTCTATCTCTCTGCAAAGATTAATGGCGACTGAAGAGGTTAATAGACCTCCTTCACTCCCTCCTTACCCACAGGTACATCTGTTTTTCTTCATGCTTCATTTACGGACCAGCTCTGCTTGATCTGTACCCTGTTTGGGTGTTCGAGAAAAGAAATTGTTTTGGAATTTTTTTAGTAATTTTGTTGGAACCCAGATGACCAATTATATGTTATCTATAACAATTCTGAGTTTCACCCATTTTGTTTTGGTGGGTTTGGTGTTTGTTCGGTGAGAAAGAAAATGGAGAAATTGGATGTGGGAAACTGGAAGTTGGAAGATCCTTGGAGAAAATTTGGAAAAATTGTTTTCTTTAGTTTTAGTTGTTTGCATATATCCGAGTCTGGTTTTTATAACAAAGGATTGATGAAGTGGGTTCTGAAGAATTCATTCAAAAGAGAGATTCTTCTTTGAAATTATCAAAATTTCATGGTAATCCAGCTTGAGTTTTTAGTTCATAAAATTACCCACTGAGCTTTTTTAGCTTTGGCGTGATGTAGAATCAGCTTTTTGGCTAACAAGGATTAGACGTTTTCTATCCAATGTTCCCTTCTTTTTCCTCTGCTTTTTCTTTTTTTCCTAAAAGAAATTGGAAAATTTTCATCTAAATCTTCGCTGAATTCTCTTCCTTCAAAATTCATTCATTCATTCAGATTAAATTTCTCAACTTTGGCAAGATAACAGAGATGGGTTTCTTCTAGATTTGAATCTGATCTTGACCTTTGCATTTCATTTTTTAGAAAAATTCTATAAATAAGATGGGTTTTCTCTATCTAATAAATGGAATTTATGGAGATAAAAACAGATGATCTTGCAAGCCATTGAAGCTCTGAACGACAAGAATGGATCCAACAAGACCTCCATATCTAAATACATCGAGTCAAAATACGGCGACTTGCCGGCCGGCCACACCACCCTTCTCTCCCACCACCTTAACAGAATGAAGGAAAGCGGCGAACTGGTTTTCTGGAAAAACAACTACACAAAACCCGACCCAGATGCCCCCCCGAGGCGTGGACGTGGAAGACCTCCGAAACCGAAGGATCAACTACCGGCGGGGATTGATTTATCGACGACAAGGCCTCGTGGCCGGCCGCCGAAAGATCCCAATGCGCCTCCGAAGCCGGTGAAGCCGAAGGTGGCATCTGGTACGGGGAAACCGAGGGGGAGGCCGAGGAAAATGCCAAGACCGTCTGGGGGAACTGCGATGGCCACCGGAGTGGGAAGCGGCCGGCCGAGAGGACGACCGCCGAAGGTGAAAGCTCCGTTGACAGAAGTGAGTGTTGAGAATTGAGTAATTAGAGGGTTTGTTGTTGTAAGTTTGTAATGGTAGTGGGTTGGGTTAGAAAAGTGTGGTGGTGTTGGTAGACTGTGAGTAGTGAATGTTGTGTGTGTTGGGTGTAGAATTTGGTGGTGTAGCCGCCATTGTTGATGACTTCTTGAGCTTCTTCTTCTTCTTCTTCTTCTTCTTCTTGTTTCTTCTGGTTTGATTGTAGAGATGATTAGTGACTAATGATGATTTGAGTAATTGATTTGTCCGCGTGATATACTTAATTGGGGGGGAATGCGGAAAATGATTGATGGAAGAACCTCGTACGCAGTTCCGTTACATGTGGCGGCCCAACCGTACGAGGTGATAATGGTGGTCGTCCCTGGTTTAGTCAACGACGTTGACTTGTAATTTGAGAGACCAAAAATCACCTCAAAAAAATTAAAAAATTTCAACTCTAAAAAAATAATTAAAAATGGTATTAGAAATACAAACCATTTTTTTTTTTTTCAAAAATTTTATATTTCTCTTGAGATGATGAAGTAAAAAAAAAAATTAAAAATTTGACTAACAAATTTTTAGTTATTCGATGGGTACGTTTTTATTTTCTTTACTATATAAGTTCCGGGTTCGAGTTAAATTATGTGTTCGGAACACATGTATCGCTTAACTAATAAAATTTTGTATCGAGTTAGAAAACATCAAAACTAGTGTTGAAAGGGTAATGTGGGAAGCAGGAAAAGACATGAAGTTTGAGTCAATAATTGGAAGGCATTTTGTTGACTGAAGACACAGTCCGAGTCTCTATCATGTACTTGTGTGTTAAGTGTTTGGATCACTCACGACTTTGTGTTTCTTCAGAGTTTTACAAACAATATTTGCTCTGGGATGGAGACAGTGTCCAAACCTCCATCACTTTCATATGTATAATAGTTTTGTACAATAATTAATTAAAAAATTGTTTAATTTGATTTTGAGTTTCTTCACACTTTCTACTTTCGAATGTGTCCGTAAGAGTTATAACAATTTTAATCGTACGTTTATCTGACTCGAACTCTTTCTTGTTAGTATAGAAACTGAACGAGTTGCGAACAATATTTATTAGATTCAGATAATTTTTTTCTTATACGTTAGAAAATGTTAACACTAAAAAAAATTTGAAGATATCGATTGATAGTTTAGAATTTCTAAATTTAAATGTGTGTATTTAATATAATTAGATATATACATATTTTTATTTCTTCTACAAAATTATTTATACTTATAGTGTCGGGTCGAGACTTTAGTTTTTATATTTTTGCACTCCCTGAGCAATCTTCTAACATAATAACATCCAAACAGAGCTCATCTAAGTGTCGTGTGTCGCAGTCTTTAAATAAAAAATAAATTATAAAAAAAAATTTGAATAATTTTTATTAATAATTAATTTCAATTTATTTAATAAATCACGTGTGTTTTTAATATTTTAAAAAATTATTAGTAATTTTATCATTAAATAAGGAACATTATAGTAATTTTATTATAGTTTTAACACTCAGAGTTTATTATCTGCGGTATGATATATGTAATAATTTGTAAAATATGGAGTTTCCAAAAAATTTGTAATTTTGTATAATATAAATATATATATGGAGGGGTTTTTAGATATTTCCAATAATAATTATGCATAGTCCTACACTACAATCTTACCCTAAATATTCATGCATGAAGCTCTACAACCTGATAAAATTACAGAATTTACTCCTTTTTCTAGTTTCAGATACATGCCTGGTTTGCTATATACAACTAATCAGAGAACCTTAAGACTACAATCTTACTCCAAATATTCATGCATGAACCTCTATAACCTGATAAAATTACAAGAATCGACATTCTTTTTTCTAGTTTTTCCGGGTAACCTTTCAAGATTCCGGAAGAGATCAAAATTGTGCTACAATTCCTCCACTTGAACAGAGAATCCACAACGACAGCGCTTGGTGCGCACTGAGGTCTCCACATCAAAGCTTTGGTCCTCTTTCAAAAATACATGTTCATGGTCTTCGTTGAGCACCGATGACATATGATCAAATTTGGCATCCTGTGTATCCCGTTTCTCGCATCCTTGAGATTCCTTGCCCTCCGTAATGCTGTCAACTTGAGTTAACTTATCGTTGACTGTCTGTCTATTACTGGATGCATATGATGATAAACCCTCCCCATAACGGTTTTTCAACTTTTGCCGAGTTAAAATAGATGACAGAAGTTGATACCACCGAGAAATGGCACGTGCTTCTTTTTTTTTCTTCTCTTCGGACTCTCTTTTATACTCTTCTTCTGCATATGCCTGTAATGAACAAATCCAAAGTCACTTAATGAGGTTTACAAAAGTTCAAGAGGCAACGAAAGAGAACGTGATAACAAGTGAAGTCTTTCAACTGAAGTGGAGATAACATTAAGACATTTTTTTTCACACAAAATACAAATAGAGAAACATGCACAAATTGAGGGATTTGATAGTCCAATTTATTTCCCATTTTCTAAATTTTGTGAGGGTTTGGAAGGTAAAAAGAAGAGCCAGAAGTTTCACGTCAAGATTGTTTCTAACTATTTCCACACCGAAAAAAAAAAAAACTCTCTAAGTAACCAGCTATCTAGCTCAATGCAAGGACAAAGAAAGCACAGATGAAGCTAGATGTGTATTTGTACCTCTATTATTGCATCATTGAACTCAGAGCAAACCACAATACCATCAAAGACAGGATGAGAACGTCCATTCTTGAACTCAAAGCCAACCATGGCAGGTGCATAATCAATTCCGAGCCTCTTAGCCACATAAAATATTCTTGGCAACCTTAAGTGCACTGTTCCTGGTGGGAGGCACTTCTCAGACCATACTTCAACTTGACCACGTTCATTCTATAATACAATCAAGAGAATGCCAATAAGCAATGATTGAAGTCTGAAAAGAACAATCAGGCAGATAAAAGTATCCAAAGTCTAACATTCTCAAGTTTTACGAACCTGTACCATTTGTAAGTTAAGCTGGGTAATCACGTAAAAAAATATGGAAAAATGTATTTTGCACCAAAATTATTTGGCTATGATAAATGAAACAAGGGGAACTCTGTGACATCTCAAGATGTAAAGTAAAGATGCGACCATGCATGCAACAAAGACACAGTTAGTTCTCAATCTCTACTCTCAGTACCAATCAAGTAAATGCATTACGTGTCATACTTTAACAAAGAAAAAGCCTAGCTCTCAAGTTATTTAAATATGGGAGGTATTAAAAAATGATTGACATAACAAGAACTAGAGCTAAAATACCTTTGGCACAATCCCATTGACAGCACGAGGTAAATTCAATGATTCCAGTTGCCACTTCCCATAAAGTTCAATATTTCCTTGAGAATCAGTTTCACCACAATCATCATCTCCAGCAAATTGAACATTTTTAAGCTTTGAAGAACGCTTAAGAACCTGAAGAAAAGAAATTTAAGGATGAACCACATCAGAAACATATTTAACGTGTACATTGATGCAAATGCTTCCAGAAACACTAGCCTTTTGATCCATTTGACTATTTTTTCCGGTAATGCATGAGATGAACAACAGTTTCTTGAGTTCATTTTTTAGAATGTGATCAACAAAATTGATTTTTTTCTATCAAATTAAGCTCTAGAAAATTGGCAATTAATTAGTTATTTACAACATGTTAGTTAATTGATTATCTGACCAACCATCTAAAAAGTTAGATTGACCAAAAGACTTGAGTTTATCATTCATATTTAAAACGTCCTTCCCTACACGAGTGGGATGCCAAACTTAGCACGTGAACAGGAACCCAGATGGATCCACAAGCCATAAATTAATGGAGAGGACGGGTGACTAACAAGGAGAGACTTAGCAGGTTCTTACAAGTTGAATAAACCAAATTAAAGAAAAAAGATAGTTGACTGACTCATTGTCTTTAATTAGTGGGAAGTGTTCTCAAATTTCTCATTTACATACTATTATGTTTTATAAATTATCCCTTGAATTTTTAGTTTAATGGTTACATGCTGTGAGGAAGAGCTCATAAATTCTACAGCTCTTGACTTGTAAATAATCTTTCGTATATAGCTAGCAGCCCCTACCAATAAGAAATGAAAGAGCATTATCCACATCATGCAATCACATTAACCATATCAGACCTTTGCTGGAAGCTCATTGGCTTTAACCTGAAGCCCTTCCCGCAGCCATCTTTCTTTTGTCCTGAGTGTTTGCACACAAGTTCGAGGGTAGACTGGATGACCAGAACAAAAGCCAAGAACAGGACCCTTTGGATGAAGTATCTCATACTTCTTAAGCCATCTTTCAATCATGTACAGTTTATGGTTCTTGTATGCCTGCATAAAACAAGTTCTATAAAAGAGATGCTTGAAGCTTAATCCCTTTAAAATAAAAAATTATATTATTTCCCTAAGACCACCGTACCTGCTGGTTGGTCGGAAGAGGCTCAGTTAGGGCCCTAATTTCCAACTCAATATCTTCAAGCATGCTCCTGGTGGCAACAAAAGAGCTCCTTGCAAAGGCCTCAGCAGAAGTTGGTAAATTGGTATCTCTAATTGTAGAACAAGATCTTGATGCTTCTGACTTCTCATGATCATTCAAGGAACCAACAGAGTTTTCTTCAAGATGAACAGCACCTCCAGTTGCTCCTGACTCTAACTGCCTCAATGGTGCCAATACTGCATCCCACCAAAGTGAATTTACCCGTTTTGATGCAATCTTGTGCCATTTCATGCAGTACCTGTACTATAACATTATAATTTAAGCCAAAATACGAAGAGGAACACTGCATTATATGAATATAATCTTTATATAATGTGTCATCTCATAACTGAAAAAATTGATTGACGGGTGGGTTGAAATTTTATGAGGAAGGTGAAAACTGATCCACATGCAGGAAGCCAACAGAAAACCTAATGCCAAGTTTCAACTATGGTTGGGGTCTTAGCTTCCACAAGCTTCTAAGGTAATGGAAAAAAGAAGAAAAAGATTTTGTTAGAATAGAAGAGATATTATTTTGAAAAGAAGAGATCTTGTTATAAGAGCAGAGGAAGAACGTAAGTAAGAGGAGAACTGCGTGTCGCCCAAACAAAATTAGATAAGAAAGAAAATGCCAAAACAACAGAAAACAAAAACCAACCAATGAAGAATAGGAAGTCAATTTACACATTTAGTAGAGAAAACAGTATCCTCCTAAAGCCCATGCACCTTAATCCAAAAGAAAAAAAAAAAAGGCGAAAAAAGACTCAGGCAATCCAGCATTTCAAATTCTTATTAGGAAACTGAGAATAACCAATATTTATTCCTCAACTTGAGAGAGAGTGTTAAAGAGAAAGTAAATTTATATTAAAGATAACATAAATTAAGTTAAAAGGGTTTAAAGATAAATTATCTGTTTTAATTAATTGAAATTAATTGTTTACTTTCTTTTTCCGTCTTGACAACTTATATATATAGGGTTGTAATATTTATTAGAATACATATCAAAACCATTCTTAACATAATGCATTCTGCATCACCTTTCTTTCCCATTCCAGTTGTTTCCTGTAAGTTTTTGAAATAGTTTTGTGTTTACCACCCAGCCTCTAAAACTGAAATTCCAAAAACTGTGGCTTGTGCTGCGATATCATTTTACCATTCAATGGAAATAAATTAAGTACAAGCTGGAAAAAGGAGTAATCTTTTGCTTTTATTAGCAGACCAGCGAAATCATCACTACCTAAATGCACCTCATTAAGTTAGTTAATTTGTAAGATACTAGGAGGCCAGTAAGAGAAGATAATTCCAAAAGGAATATCATTAGAGATAAATCACAATACATGTCCATCCAAAAAACACGTGAAACAGCGCAAGAATAAAACATATGCACACTTGGCAAGAAGCTTGATTGTACAAGCAACCTAAGCCAATATGAAAGCAGGGTAGGAGTATAGAGGTAGGAGAATACAATACCTGCGGGTCACATCTTTAGCTCCTCCACCAGCAAAAGCAACTACATATCTCAAAGATGTTTTACAGGCTGCAGCTGCGGCTTCCACTTTCGCTTCTCCGTCTATAATTGCATTGATAGCATCAACATGGACCCACTTCCCTTCCAAGTTCTCTCCACTGCAATATACTTCAGCCCAGTATGATGGAGATCCTACCTTTTTTGAACCAACAGCAGTTGAAATTCCTTGAGAAGATATTGAAACGTCCACATTTTGAATTCTTTTTATCTTTTTAAGTGATGGAGAGACATCTGACACATCACTTTTCAGATTCTTTGTATCTGATCCTTCGTCAACCTTATGAATCCCAACGGATGTTGAAGAAAGTGCCATTTCCAACTGCATCTCAAACTCAAGATCCCCTTTCCTCTTTGAACTATAAGATTTACTTGTAGAGCATGCTTCAGATATATCATACTGTGCCTTACAAGCTAATGAATCCACTGTCATATCTTTTAGCTCACCAGCAATGGAAGAATCGTTAGGCTTTTTGCTTGTTCTTTTGGACGAACCTCTCAAAGAAGTGTCACAGATACTGGTATTCTCATTGCACAAAAACGAGTTAACAGGAGATGTGGACACCTCTTCCTGTCTTGTGACCATCAATGTTGATGTGTTAAAAATTCCCTCACCCGATCTACTTCCAGTTGAAGATTCACATTTGTCAGCATCGGGCTTTAACGAAGCAACATCCAGAATGGACACAAACCTGAGGGCCACACAATTTAATATAAAGATACATCTGTATTCACATAGAAATATAAAGTCCAATATAAAAACATGCACACATCTTGAAACCATAAAGTGGAGTTTGAAGACAATCAAGTAAACAACAGTCTGGGGTTTCAACAGCAAATTCCATCTTAACAAAGCAACTGAAACCATGCATAGATATAAGCAAAAACAATTGAAGTTAGAAAGCAACTATAGTATAAGAGAGCTCCCACTATCTCCTGATGATAAAAATATGTCATAGAACAGCTGAATAAATTTACAGAGTTAACCAACTCCTCGTGCCTCAACACCATGAAAAATCAACGTCATAAAATCTCAGAACTGCAAAAGAAAAAAAAGACCTGTTGGAAGAAAAATAACATTAACAAAAGCACATATACCGAAACCATAAACTGGAGTGTGGAGGATAAAATCCCATAATCGACTATCTAGGATTTTCAAGAGCCAATTCCATCTTAAGAAGAAACCAAGAAAAATCATCTAGAAACAAAAGCAATCTAGCTTAGAAAGAAAGTACACAAAAGAGAGCTTCGAGTCGGCACTGAAGATGAGAACATAAATTAGAACAGTAAAAGATCCCAAACAATCCTTCTACGGGAAATTGCCATGCTATTGATAAACTTTGATGGAATAATACAACTAAATCAACTCTCTTCATGTCTCAACACTAAACCTTGACATGTAAAGGTGTTTAAGATCCCAAAGATGTGAAGAAAAATGAATATGAAAACAACAATAATAAAAGCAGTCCATATAAGCAACATAAGTTTATGGTTCTCATCTAAAACAACATACCGGGTTGTCAGATTCAAAGCTCTAAATAATGCCACAGATAAAGCCGCAAGCTGCAATGAAAATAATGTTATGAATTTTCCACAAACTTAATCCAGTATATGCTCATATGATTGATCCTTTACATTATTTGCTCTAATCCCTTCTTTTAATCATGGAATTAATAATACACCTTAATTGCTATTCCATTTTCATTATCAGATAGTATAAGAACTATATGCAAGGACTGAAATATCCAGCCATAGGAGGTATTGACACAGCAATCAAAGTAGAGAACAAACAGTATGCAAGCAAAGAATGATGTCTCATGTCCAATCCATAAATGCTGACTGAGAGATAAGGACATATCGATTTAAAATTATGAAAGATGGCATTATAACCAAAGGAAGTACATATAATATTGTCTCAAATCTGTACAGCACATAAGATCTTGAAAATACCTCCTCAGAAGTGCCTTCTCGAGATTCAAGAGCAAAGGCCAAGGAAGATTGAAAAGATCTCCTTGCACTAGCTGAACTTGTAACATGGAAGCTATCATGAAACTGCCCGTTTTATAAAATAAAAAAATTAGACAAGATTTAGCAGGAACAACAAAATGAAACTATAAATAGCAACCTATTAAAATTATACCCAGTTGACAAGAGGAGATAAATTGCTTGCAGTAAGTTTTGTAAGCTCCGATATTTTTAATAAGTGTGATGGTAGAAGAGAAAGCAAGGAAGCCTGCCAATCATTGTCAAGTTCCATCAAACAATCAAAAATGCCCATCTCCCATTTTCTTAAGTATCATAATGAAAAGAGCAATAAAACAAGAAATTGAATAATGCTCCCTTATATGTATTAAAATGTAATTTTATCATCCTTATAAAATCATAACTAAATATTATGCTGTGCGGAGTAGCGGCTACCATCGATAGTTTAAAAACAAAATAAATTTAGATAAGCAATAGAAGAATATAGATAGACTAGAGAAAATTAGAGATCAAGGTAACTATAGAGAAAAATAGACTAAACAAGATAGGTTAGACAGAACAATAATCAGAAGAACGATGATAGAGATATAACAGACAAAAAAGTCCTAACAAAGAAATTCTTGGTTCATCATTGTCTTCTCTTTGCTAGCAGCTGCTAACCTTGTTTGCAATTAAGTAATCAATATCTTATGTAACAAATTTTACATAAAAGACAAATTAGGAAATCTATGAGATATCTTATTAGTTAGAAAAACAATAGACTGGCAAAAAAGACTACAAAGAGCTCCATGAGTGGGATTTTGGAGACCTCATAGACATTTTCTCCAACACGTAAGGTAGTTCCTCTCTTTTGTACTTGGGCAGCAACCATCTTTTGTAGTTGGGTATGCAAATTATAATTCTTTCCCCCTTTTTAGAAATAAAAAAAGCTCAGTAGTATAAAATAGATGCAACATTTCAATGCTACAACTGAATACCAAAACAACATTGCTGTGAAAACTTCATTAGTGTTGTTGCTTTTAGAATGCTTCGCTGTTACTTTCTAATAGAGTTAACAGCTGGATTAATTTCAATTTTTGATTTTTGGTTTTCACTAAGAGTAAAAACATTACAAATGTCTTGCAAACATAAAAACAAAATCATGACAAAGCAATGGTATAAAGTAAACAATTAACACAATGGCATATACATGGAAAAAGCATAGAGATAGGGGTTGTAATACAACAGTCCAGCAAAAGTAGCAGGCAGATATAGAAACCAAAAAACTAGAGGTATGCAGAACATGAAAATTGCTAATGTACCAGAAATATGCCGGCAGCCAGAAAAGTAGACAAAGTGCTCTTATTTTGAAGTAGATTACCAGTACAATACCCCACAAACCCAGAATAAGAGCAAGTAAAATAACAAGAAAATATATGCAAGAGCTTTACTGAATACTATGACATGATCAAAAGGCAACCTGAATTAGAGGATCATCACAAGCATTGTCAGTTATTCTGCCCCTGGCAAGTAAACAAAGCAAATGAACCTTATGCACAGATCAGCCAATTCTTGTGAGAAAAGCAGAACCCTATGAGTTGTTCCATTAATTTGTAAAAATTTATATCATATAAAAAATCAAAGGAGTGTAACCACCTTATCTTTTGCAGATGCTCTACGAGTAGGCCTCTCCCTTAGAGGATCTGGTAACTCACTAAGTTCAATAGTCAACCCCTTAGAAGAATCATCAGGACAACTATCTATGTTGTCCAACACAGGAACAGGACAATCTTCCCAATCTGAATCGTTCATTTCATCCCCACTGCACAAGAGAGCATCTACATCTTTACTGCATCCTCGAACATCTGACGCATTTGAGGCGACCCTAATATCTACATCTTCCTTCTCATTCTCATCTTTTTCTGGTCCACTCTCTGGCTGGAAAAGCGGAAAAAAAGAATATTATAAAAATAGGGATCTAATTTGATTTAAAGCCATCATACATGCTAAGTGGGCCAATTTTCCATCACAGATATCAAGTGGACGTATCACAATCATTCATAAGCAGAACAAATAAGTTGATAGGGGACCAACCATGTCAATAGAATCACACTGATGAAAGTCATCTTCTTGTTTCCTCTTCCTCGATAAGCCACGAGTATTCACACGTCTTAAAAGTTTGTTTACCCCTTGGTTCGATACATTCTCAAGTGCTCCTAAACCAAAAAAACAAACATCTGTTAAATTCCGTGAATTTCCCGTAATCAGACTAATAAACAATGGTTCCTTTTCAGCGAATCTCACATAAACATAAAGATTTTCCATTTCACGTCTTCTTCACCAATTCTCCCCAAGAACTAAAGTGGGTAATCATAGTGAAAATCATTAACACCACAATGCAGTCCCAAAATCAAATTTTGTTTTCAAATTAGAATATTGAAACAGAGAAAATTACACCTACCACTATCAGACATAAAATATAATATTTTCTTTCTGTTCTTAAAAATTTTTCTTCAGAACCAATCAAAATAGCTTCTGTAAGAAGACTCTTACCCGATGATTTGCTTCCTCTGTTAGAGTCACCCCTGGTACGCATTCTGTTCATACTGAGAGCGAGAGAGAGAGAGAGAGAGAGAGAGAGGGAGGGGAGTCGCGCGTATTTTCAAGGGTTTAATGGGAGGAATATTATATGATGTATGCAAGTTTACCGACAGGATTCCACGTGGCGCGACTTCTTCCGAATTCTGACCACTGAGATCTTAACACGTCACCCAAAGGGCTCCTGTGAATCATGACCACCAAATTACTAAAAAGCTACCTAGCAATAAATGTATTTGATTTATTTTATAATAATTATATTCTTATAGTAATATTAAGTACTTAAAAAATAAAAATATTCTTATAAAATAAAAATATATATTTTGCTACATCACCCTAAACATTTTTGTTTTATCTTAAAAAAAATTAAATTAGAAAATTTAATCCTTGTAAATAAATTTTATTAACATAACAAAAAATTAAATTCATTTAAATAATATATTTTAAATTATGTTAAAATTATTGAAATTTTAAATTTGTTTTTCCGGGTTAGCATAAATTTTACATGAGAATATTTAGAAAGAAATTTCATAATCCTTCAGTTAAATTAAATATGAATTTATAAATGAATTCTATAAAAAAAAATTGAAACTTTCTAAAATATAATTTTTATGTTTCTTTTTCTTAAAAAAATATATATATCTTGAATTAATTAAATTAAAAAAAAAAAAAGAAAGGATAAGAAATGTAAATATCTGTTTTCTATCAGCAGCAGTCGAGTTGCTTCCTGTTCCTCCTCCTCCTCCTCCTCCTCCTCCTCCTCCTCCTCCTCCTCTGTATTTGATTATAAAAGCTCAGAATTTGTTTCTGCACTCAAAATTTTCTTGTTCAATCAATTTCAAGATTTTTAATCTGGGTTCCAAACAAACAACTTGAAGACTTCCTCCCTTCACTTTTTTCTTGGTCATTCTCTCATGAAACCCAGTTGATTGAAGTTATCCATTCACCTATACTAATATACAGATTCTGTCTCTGGGTATTATCATCATTCACAGTTAAAAAGAAAAATGGCACTAAGACCAATACTGTCGAGAGCATATAACCTAAAACCCTCTTCTCCAAGCTTCAAAATTTGCAGCCTTGACACTCGATGCTTCAAAAAACCAACCCAAGAACTAGTACTAACAAAAATCAGCAGAAGAGGAATGGTTGCAGGGGTTCTGTTCTTGTCTAAACAAGAATTAATGGCTGATGGGATAGAGTTGAGAATGGTGGCACCTGAGCAGACAGTGGAGGAAGCAGAGAGTGGGATCAGAAGCCATGCACAAGCTTTGCTGGAAGTAAAGGGCTTAATAGAGACCGAGTCATGGGGTGAAGCACAGAAGATGCTGAGACTGAGTTCATCTTACTTGAAACAGGATATATATACTATAATCCAAGGGAAGCCTGGAAGCCAAAGACCAAAATTGAGGAAGCTCTACTCCAATCTCTTCAATAATGTGACAAGAGTACGTTGTTTTTCCCCTCTTAATCTTTAGAAATTTTCTTCAATTTCATTTGTGAGTCAGAAGACAATGTAAAGTTCGATAGAATGTATTCACTTGTAATTCTATTTTCAGATTGAATTTTTTCAAGTTCTAATCCAACTAGTTAATATTTATACATAAAACATTTGCTCCGAAAGTAGCATTATTATTCTTTAGCTATTAGTTGTCTGCTACTAAAGTTGATAACGAGTTGTAGTTCATTTGGTGAGACCATACATAAAATTTGAATTCGACTAATCAATTTTCTAATAAAATATTATATCATCTGAGTTAGTATTCTTAACTGTTTTTCATATTCTTTTCTAAGTTTGTAACTCGTGAGCTTCTAAATTTTTCGGATAATGAAAGCTTACTTAAAATATAAACAAGAACTAAATTGTTTTCTTGTGCAATTCTGATGGTTGCCTGAGTTGATATAATATAATCTTTTGCAGCTAGACTACGCGGCGAGGGAGAAAAATGCAGAACGAGTTTGGGAGTATTACCGAAGCATTGTAGCGGCACTTGATGAACTCTTGCCTGTACTGTGATCCAGTTCTCTCCCACAGAGGAAATGAATAGTTGAGAAGCTTGCCTCCCAACTCCATTGCAATATCACCGATTCTTTTTTTTCCTCATTTGAAGTCCACTTCACCTTGATGAGCCAGATTTACTATCATGCATTCAATTTAAAGAGACTCAATACATCTTAGTATATAGAACGATTTTAAGTTCATATATATATATATACATGATAATATGTATGCTTACACCAGGCCTTTTTTTACATGACTTTGTGAAGAAAGGGATTAAACCAGTGAATAAACTTACATGTATACATAATAACATACACTCTGCTATCGAACAAACTCATCACAATCTCTATATCTAAATTTTAACAAATTTGTCAGCAACCGCAAGTATTTCTCGTAGTTAAAAGTTGTAAATTTCTACATAAATTCTACAAAAGTTTTGAATTTGTTTCAAATATAATCTAAATAATTGGAAGTTTGATTTGTTATATAGGATCGAATATGCAAGAAAGTAGTAACTGTTACACAGATAAAAATAAGGCTTATAATATTGTTTTAGTTGGCAGCATGATATGTTACTTTTGTGATTATCGAAGAAGTTGTAATCTGAACCAGGAATATTTTTCCATATAATCCATCACTGCCCACCACCATCTAATTCAATATGAGTGAAAGGAACATACAGGTGCCAAAGATGATCAAAATAGAAAAAGGAAACCAAAGAAAAATAAGATTACAAGTGCAGAACTTTTTAAGGTTTTCAATCTATGGCAGCAACAATGTCAGCCATCATACCACATGAGAGAAAGAGAAAAGAGAGAGAGAGAGAGAGAGAGAGAGAGAGAGATGCACCACAGATTCTGTACAGTTACATAAAAGATTATTTCTGAAAACTAAAACAAGGCATTTACCTACTGCAACTGTTTATCAAAACTAAGCAAAAATCATGGGGTAATAACCATTAGAATACAGGACAAAGCGAATCCGGTCATAGTGTTGGGACTCAAGCCACTAGATTCAGACTAACCCGAGAGGCACTGTGAATATTCACCATGCGCAAGACAGAAGTACCATCAATCTTGTTTATCTATTTCTCACCTGATTGTTTGATAGAAAGGAGAATGTAACAGCCCAAAGGAAGGAATGGTTAACAAACAATCAGAATCAAGGGTAACCTGTGACTCCAGGGAAGAGTTCTGATATCTTGTTGAAGACATCCATAACCTGAAACAAAAAGATGACAATAATAAGGAACTAAAGACAACTAGGGCAGAAGCAAACAATGCTAGCTTTCCTTCCTTTTATATTGAAGACCAAAAGTAGCAACTTCAGTGATTTGATTTTGTTACTTAAGAGTTCATTTGTTCAGATCGTGAGCCAAACTCAGCAGCATAAACATGATTCTAAATCAAGCAGGAACAAACTCGATATTGATTAAAGAAGTTAGGTGTGTGAGACAAGAAAAGAGTTGAGTAAAGTGACAGAACTCTAATAAAGATGCAAAGATAAGCTGTAGTCATTTCAATCAGTTGGAATACTACTGCAAGCATCCATGTCAAACAATCCTGAGAACACATTAAACTCATGCTAAGTGCTAAGCATACGGAAGGAAGCTATTTTGTTGAGAAATTAGAAAGAAAACAAATCATGGCACAACAGGAATTAATTATATACAAGAAACTGAATTTGAACATGTTAATGTACATATAATCTCCAGTACATAAAACATAATTAGAATTAACAACTCTGTTAATACCTCCTTGTCATTTTGATACTTAGCAATACTCAATGGGTTCTGCGAACACTGCAAAAGCAACAAAAAAATATTAGAGAATTAATATTGACCATTAACGAAGTAGTTTAGGCAGAACATACATCCATGATGGCTGCTTGAATCTTAGGGTTTTGAAATGCCATGGCAACTTCAGGATTGGCCATAATTTTGGAGATAACTTCTTCAGGTGTAAGCCCAATCTGATCTGGATAAGAAAAAAGATTGTCGAATCATCTTAACAATTGAATCGAGAGAATTCCAATTGGAGTATATTAGATATAAGAGAAAATTAAAACCACCAACCTCATGATATCGAATAAACCTGAAAATTGAAAAAGAAGGATCTACCTTTCTCTTAAACAGAGAAGCTACTTCCAGGTTAATGGTTCCATATTCTCTCTCTTGTACAGGTTTAGGTACCTTTTCTTTTAGTTGATGACTTTTCAAGAATAAATTGGGTTCATCTGATGAAAGACTGTTTAGAATCATTTATTTTGTGAATTTTGCTCTGGAAAACTTCCATATGTTGATTTTTTTTTTCTTTGAAGTGACAATGCAAATGATAATTTTCACATCCTTTTACATCTTGCATGAGTTATCATAGGATGATTTCTATCCTTATGTCGACACACTTCACAACAAAATGGTGACATCAAGGGAAGAGTTCAGCACCTAATCAAGATCACTCATGTTTAATTGATTTATATGAATTTTCCCAGATTTTTTCAGAGTGATGTTCTCACTTCATGTTATCTTATTAACTGACCACCTATTTATCAAGACAAGCTTCTTATACTGTACCTTTTCCGAACTTTGTTTCCTTTGCCTCAACATACTTTTTGTTTTACTTCTTGCTGTGGTTGTTTAACCATTAGTTACGGTCAGATGTGACAAGTTAGATACCAGACCTCTTAACTCGTATTGTTTTGGCTATTCTCATCCTCAAAAAGGATATGATTGCTATTTCATACTCATATGGGATGTCACATTTTCAGTATACTCCCTTTCATCTAATTGCCTGCCATGATTGCTTTCGTAAAGCGAGATAAAATTGTGACATGTCTAGACTCTTTTGTCTAGGCAGATCAAAATTAGGAATTTGCTTTCACAGAAATTAGGTCCTTGACCTTTTGAATGAGAGAGGAAAATTGGGAGCCAAGCCAATTGATACTCTCATGTAATGTTAAATTGGCCAAAGATGAAGGTGAATTATTAGAGGATCCAAATGGATGTCGGAGAATGGTTCACAAACTGAATTACCTTGTCCTTACTTTTCAATCATTTTGCTCCTATGAAAGCTATGATTCTATTTATGGACTTGCCACACAGCAGTCCGTAGGACGGTGTTGTGAGCATCTTAAGATACCTCAAAGTACACTTGGTCACAATTACTCTATAAGCACCATGAGTATACTTTCTTCTAGCAGTATATAGATTCTTATTGGGCTAATTCTACTATTGACCATAGATACACTAAAGGTTGTTGTATCTTCATGGATGCAACATGGTTTTCTGGAAGAATAAGAAACAAACTGTAGTATAAATATGGTTCACACTTCTCATAAGTTGAATAGACTTAAAGCATTCAACTGACAAGCTTGGTTTTCCACAATATCTATCCATATAATAACAAGGCAGTGAACCACATTGCGTCAAATAGGTCTTCATGGGGACTAAACACAATAAGGATGATTCTCATTTTATATGAGAAAACTTTGGCAGAATGTGATTTGGAAAATTTGCATAAAATCAGCAGATCAGTTGGACAATAGGTTTTACAAAATCCTTAAGAGAAGCTTGCTTGAAGTTTATTTATAACAAGTTTAGTGCATACAATATTTATGCTCTAGCTTGAAGGAGAGTATTAGAATATAGAGAGCAATTACCTGTAAGTTTCTCATATATATTTCTCCTATATAGTTAGGACTACATGGCTTTTTTATTTAGAGCTTTTTCTTTCTCAGCACAAAAGATCCATTTAAGTACGCATGCAAGTTTTTCTTCCAACACAAGGAAGTAACTGCAGTTTAGTTTCAATAATATATTGTAATCATAAAAGAACCATATGTTATCAGGCAAGAAGCAAGTTATCAATATAAAACACTAAAAAGTTCATACCTACATTGTGGTGGTGCTTTCTCAAAAAAATCAATGATTTCACAATTATAGACATTAATATGATTTAGATGGCTAGAAGTATCTAAAAAATGGGGTAACATGTCAGAACATTGCTCATGCGTGTTTAGAGAAGTCAAATGACAGCCAAAATGAACAAATCAATCACTTAAGAAATAATGCCAAAGCTGAATAATTTAACAATTAATTAGATACATTGCAATATTAGGATGCCAATCAATCACATAAGCATTTAATATGATTTATATAGCTACGAAAAGTAGATCAAAAAATGTAACATTTCAAAACGTTGTAATACATGTTTTGAGGAGTCAAATGACAACCAAAATGGACAAATCAATCACTTGAGCAAGGATGAACTCTAGAATACCAAAGCTAAAGAGACTAACAATTAATTATATGCATTATAAGATGGGTAAATTACAGAAACCCCCTTGATTTACGGTGTTATATACAAAAACCATTTGCCTTTTTAAACTGAACAGAAAACTCCTCACTTTACAAACTACCACGCTTTACATCATTACCTCTAAACTTAGTTGTTAAACTTAACCATAATGATAAAATAATTCTAATACCCTCATTTAATGATAAAATTACCATAATGATCTTAATAATTTATTTAAATTAAAAAAATTTATATAACTTATCAAATGAATTTAGTAAATGATTTTTACTTAAAAATTATTTATAAATATAAAATAATTTATTTAAATAATAACATATTTGTTATTAGTAACTGATATTTAAAAAAATCATTTAAAAACATGTAAAAGTAACTTCTTTAAATCATAAAAATATTTTTAAATTATTTTTATACCATTTAAAAAACAATTTTTTCCTCCATCTTAAACTGTGGACAAAAATTTCAAATAAATTTTTAAATAAATAGTTCTTAAAGTTTTATTTAAAATTATTTAATAAAATATTTTTAATTAATTGTTATCAATATCAATTATTAATTATTTAATAATTTTTACACATTTTATTATTTAAATAAGTTATTAAAACTAGTATAATAATATTCTTGTTAAATAAAGGGTATTATAGTAATTTTGTCATTGCTGTTAACTTTGACACTGAAGATTAACAATGAGAGTGTAAAGCATATAGTAACTTAGAATATACAGATTTTTATGTTCAGTTTTAAAGAATGAAATGGTTCTGTATATTATACCAAAACTCAAAGGAATTTCTGTAATTTGCTCGTCATATGGAAACATGTCTAAAAAGATTAAAAGAGTACCATGAAGACAACATTTATATGTTTTTGTGCATTTATATTCGGTAAAACTTAAAGAAGCATGAGAATAATCCATCTCGCACTCACCAAATTGCTGCTTGACTTCAGGACTATTAAGGTCAAAACCTTTCAAGGTCTCCATCATATTGTTATTCCATTCACCACTTCCGCTCATATTATTCCTGAAGAGAAAACCGAGTATTAAAAAAGAATTAAGATTCATCATAACAAGCCCATTTCCCAATAACAATAAAATTACCAATAGACATACAGCATACTGGACTCATAAAAAACTAAGAATCTTTTCCATTTAGAAGAAAAAAAAATAAAGGATATGCAACATGAAATGGCATTACACTACAGAAAGGGATATATAAGAATAGTTATCATGTTTTTTTCCGAAAGAAGTGAATTATCAAACAAACCAAGGGGGCGGAACCTATATAAAATAACTTTATAAGTCTGTCAAGGTATTAAGTCTCCTAAATCCTCACGAATGTAAGAGGATCACTCTTAATTGCCATATAAAACTCTAGTTAAGATAACTGTGTCAAAGATCTTATCACACCAAAAAAAATCTTTATAACTTATCAGAGTCCAGTTCCATTAAACAAAAGACATAATATAATACAAATTCAGATGACAGTATTGCCACATTTAACCTATTAGAACACAATTTTATATGATAAGATTAAACTTACCTCCAATAAACCCATGTATAAAATATGAGATTCTAACTTCCAATAAGATCAAATAAACAAAATATGAGAGCACCAAAGAAGAGGGCTTAAGTTTTGGTTCAACGCAGAAATTATTGAAAACACCGGACTTGAATATGCAATGAAACAAGTTCCATCAAATTAACAGGAATTCAGCCACTCTTGGGATCTTCACCCACTATTCATATAAATTCACAGCAAAAAGCAATACATATTCACCAGTCTATATGATTTATATGCCTTAATGAATTTAAAAAAAAAAGGTTGAACTCAAAGAAATAGCACAAGCATTTCAGGTTGTATCAGTAAGAAGTTTCGCGTGTATGTAAGTGGAAGAGAGAGAGACAGAAACAGAGACAGAGAGAGAAGTATAGGACAACCATAACAAGAATACCAAGCTACAAGAAAAAATTACATATGAAAAGATGAAAAATGAACTCACAGCATGTCCTGTAGTTGCTGACGGTACTGTGGATTTTGTAGCATCCCTGTAAAAAGTAAGTGACAGAAAAGAAAAAAATATTTATTAAAGATACATATGCTAAACTTAGGCATTTAATAGTTTGTAAGTAGCATTTTAATTTGCATAAAATGGTTTATTTCCAAGTCCTTGACCAGTGTAATCACTAATGTACTATACTGAATTGACCGGTGTAATGTACTGGTTAAATACTTGTATGGCAGGGATAAAATTTTTCTACAAAATCAAATGTTAGTTAATACTGGCTAATATTGGGCATATATTCAGTACCAGGCATACTAGCCAATTCCAGTATTCTCCGTTACTAACAATAATTTTTTAATAATTTTCACTTCAAAAATTTAAGATTTTTAAATTAAAATTAAGTAAAAAAAATTCATTATTTAATTTTAATAGATTTTTAGTTATTTTAGTACAATTTTCTCATATTGTATGCTGTAAATTGTAAGTTTTTGACTTATTTGATGTTCTTGTGACCTAAATATTTAGATGTATATAAGTTATTTTCGAAGTAATATGTTATTTACATTTAATATATAATATCAGTAATAGTTTATATTTTTCTATAAAGTTAATTATTGGTGTTATTATTAGTATCATTATGTACGTATATTGTAAAATACGAAATAGCGATAAATTTGAAACAGTCAGTGAAATTTATGGACTACTAATACGTATCACTCTGAAAACCGAGATGCTGACTGATATGATATTTACTACTTTGTATCCAAGACTTTTTCACAAGAACAAAATAGAATATGGATGTACAAAACAAAATAGAATCTGAATGAATGCATCAAGAACACCCAGGACATAGATATCCCCTTCAATTAAACAAACAAAAGCAAGCACTTAAGTGATAGGAGCAGGAGAACTAAGCAGAAAAAAGCTCGTGTTTCACGGAACAGCTTCCGTAACTAACTTCTAGGATGGTGGTAATCAAAGACATCACAAACTATGAACCAATCATATATTATGAAGACCAGAGCCCCAGATCTACACCTCTAAAGTTCTGTTTATTGGAAGGGCACGTCATGGAAAAGAATGGAAAAAGAGATGCCTCGGTAGGAGGATATTTTATAATTAATTGGAAGGAGAATGGTGAGAATGTTACCTGTTCATCCCCTCTGAAGTAAGGAAGGACAAGTTTATCGATGTAAGAAAAATTAAAAAAGAAACCAAACCTGAAGATCTCATATCTCAATAGTCAACTCAAAATTCTCAATAAATTCCACATAGTATCACAATAATCTCCTCTCAAGCCATGCTTGCAGTAGCCTATATATAGGCGCCATTAATATATATATATATATATATGCACCAACCATACAACCAAAATAATAAAATTTGCATACAAGACAGCATTCTTAATGAAGTAGATTAGAAACTACCAACCTAGAAAAGAAACTAAAAGAAATGCATAATAATTCTTAACCCCATCCACATTTTTCTTTTTCTGAATCACCACGAAATCACTAAATATTTCCTAAATAAGCTACATAGTCCTAGTAATATATAGAAGATAACAAGTAGCTACATATAATCAAAATACTTTAACTATTCCATTTTTTAGACTTCCTTTTCTGTGTTACTTACATTTGAAGGTTGTTGGGTTTCTCATCTCCTCAGGTAAATACCTGCAAATACACATTTCTTTTCACTGTAAGACAGAAGTTTTTCGTAAATATATTAATTCTGAAAAAGTGAAAATTGCTAAAGGGCAAAATCACAGAGCGAACACATGCACTGTGGAAAACAGTTAAAGAAATGGTAAAAAAGAACTTTGACATTGCTGGGAGGATCAGACCCCAGAAATGGGGTAGAAGAAGAAAGAGGGAATGGAGTTAATAGAGAGAATAATTGGAAAGGAAAAGAATACAAATTCAAGTTGGCAACAACAATAAAACAATTTTCCCATTATTATATAAATACTGCAAATCAAATATAATCATATTTTCAGAAATAAGCAAGTCGCTTAATTACAATCAGAGCTATAGTAAAACAAATGTTAAAGCTTTAAGCATACTTAAATTAATGATATAAACATTAACGATCAAAAAGATAAAATCCATAGATTGGAAAAGGAAAGCTAAATTACGGATAAACCATCTTCTGCACTGTAGGATCTTCCATCATTTTCTCCAAAGCATCCACTGTTAAGCCAGGACCTATTTTTGCTGTCCATATATTAATTAAACATGCTTAGGGCCTTGATCATACAAACAAAAAATATTGTCTACATAAAAAAGAATATTTTCAATGGAAAAAAAGAAGAGCTGCACTGCATTTCAAAAGGACCAAGGATGTCCAGCCGTATGAAAGATTTACAAAAAGGAATTACACAAAATATCTGGAAGACGCCCCTAGATCTTCTCCATCAAGGAGATGATGATCTTTTAAAAAAACATAAAAACTGGGCAGACCACAGAAATAACAGTTAATAAGCTGGTACAACAAACCAAGAAATATATATCTCTTAAAGGTATCACTAATACATCTTTGTGTTATTAACAATGTATAAACGATATTCCTCATATTAATAAGAGAATCATCACAGCATTTGAGCTAAATATCAAAACCGGCATGCATATAGAAAGATAAGATATAGTCGTGCAACCATAGAAACGGGCAACAGTGGAGCATCAATTAAATTGTTTTAATTGTTAGTTAGATATGGTTGGTGTGAGAACTTATCATACTTAAACTTTTGCAAGCAATTGAAGTAAGCTACACGTGGAACATGCTGTAAATCATTCAATTAACCTATTTATGACTGGAAATATCATAACAATATATGTCGAGTTATACTTCCTTCCAGTGCCAAGCTACATATCATCAATCCAAGCAGTCATCAATATAAATATTAGTTGAAAAGACAAGCTAGTGTAGCTTAGCCACATGATATGAAGAAAGCACAAGTGACAGTGGTTCGTTTACTTACGGAAAGACTGTGAACCTTCAGAAGAATCTACAGCTTGCTTAGAAGCAGCTCCATTTTGAGAAACCTTCATACAGCATCCAAATAATTAAACCTTGAAATGAATTTTAAACCAAAAGTAACATAAAAGGTCAGAATATCATAATCGTGGCACATCTTCAAGTTCCGGGACTTACTTCTTTGGGAAACTGAGAATTTTTCGATGAACTTATCTCAGGGACATCTTCAAAGCTAGCAAATGGACTTTTTTGTGTGGTCTCTTCAGGGGAAACATCTACAAAAGCTGCAAGTGCGACTTGCATTAGAATTTATTAAGGGAAACACTTTCAAACTAAAAAAATGATAACTAGCATATGAAGTAGCAAAGTAGGCACTACCGCACTAGATGCATGCATAGTATCTCGATTGAGACATGGTCCTGAATAAGCCGATTAGAGCGCATGTCAACCATTAAGCCCCACTACCTTTAGAAAAATTCATATACTAGACTGTTGTGAGGCCGTACAGAGATGATTATGAGTATATTATGGAAGAAAAATAATATAATAGCATCACAATTTGTGATCCAAATTTGCATTCTACCAAAGTCCCTAAATAATACAGCATGCTGCAGAATCAATAAAGCAACAGCAAAGCCAAATTACAGAGGAAATAGACATGGGATCCTCTTCTACTACAGAAGCAAAGGAAGAGGAATGATTCTCCAAAGCTCTCTTATTCCTCTCGTTCCAGGTAACACAAAAAATGGAGAGGAGGATAAAGGAGATGAATTTCCTTTTAGATCTTAATAATAGGTACTAAAATTTCTATGTGTGTAATAAATTGTAGCTGGATTAGGACTTTAAGCAATGTAATCTTACTTTTGAGACGAAAACATGAGTACATAGATTATCATGCGAGCTTTTCACCATCTTGTTTGTGTGATATAATCAAACCTTAAGCATGAAGCTTAAGAAATCTTATGTGTGAAATTTAAGAAATCTATGTGTGATATCTAGGTTTTATCCCAATTCTTAGTAGGCGTAATCCCTAATCTGTCCTAAATCATGGAGGCACGAATTCATTTTCAGAACTGAAATGGCCACATGCAGACAATTACAGAAAGAAGTATCAACTACATTACGAGCATGAATATTTGAGAATCCAACATGCCTTAACCTTTAATTTTTTTTCCTTTTTCCTTGTTTAAATGGAAATGATTTGCATATTTAATTGTAATTTATGGAAGTTAAAACCAGAGACTGCCTTTTACCATATTTCTTCTGCTTGGTCTCAGTTTCTGATTCCTCTTTCGCATCAGTAGTTGGAGCTGCTTCTACTTTTGTCGCAGCTACATCTACAGTAACTGTAGGTTGAGAAGCAGGTGAGGTAGTAGGTCCTGTTGTTGGAGGTTTTGGATATGGAAAAGGTGACCCTGGTGGAAAAGGTACATTACTGAACTGGTTATTCTGTGTATTCATCTGGCTCATCATAGTTTTCATTGCTTGTTGCATTGCATATTTCTGCAAAAATCAAGAAGAAAATAAAGAAAAGGAGGCAAATGGAGATGCAGACCTAAACTACCTCAAACTTCAGGTGCACTGACAATGGAAAAACATCTTTATTTCCAAAAGTTACATGCAGAATCTATCATTTCCAGCAGTTAAATAAAGATGTTTCCAGAAATATCCATCAAGCACGCATCCTGGGGGTTTTTAGATATGACATGCATCCATGACAAAGGAAAATAGTTATGTTGAGCCAAAAAGTTCAGAATAGACACTTAGCCCCAAATGTTTCATCTGCAGATTAAAATTGTAGGGACAAAAAATTCTCAAGCAATAAATTATGAAACTAGAGCAAAAGAAAGTGTGAACAATATGGACAACAAAGTTAGAGTTAAATGCAAAGCAAAATCTAAATGAAACTTCCAATAAGATAAATTAAATTCCGTGACAAGATGAGATATTTGAATGACAACTATTTGTTGGTAGAGAAGAATATCAGGGAGGAAAAGAATTAAAGAAATTTTTAATTTTTTGATAAGGAAAAGGAAAAAAGGAAAAAAAAATGGTTGCTCTCATTTGTCTCTTTTGAGTTATGTACTCCAACTCTTCCGATTTTCAGAGGATTCAGAAGAAGAAGATAATGAATGAGTAACTTTACAATTTTTTCTCCCTTATAAGTCTTCAAAATTACATTGTAAAGGCATAGAGTGAAATGTATTCTTCGCACCCACCCTAGACCAACTTTCCATCCTATCAAACAAGGGAAAGAAACATATTTTCTTGCGTTCCATTTTTTTATTCTTCCTTATCAAAGAAGGAAAGGCACATAGAAAGATTTTCTTTCTGTTCTCACATTTTATTTTCTCTTGCATCTCATCACTTCTCTTTTCCCCTTATCAATCATGGCCTAAAGAACTAGCAAAAACAAAAGCCCTAAACTCCAACACAAATAAAATTAAAAGTAATGTTTACTGGTTTTCAGTTCATTTAATGAAACAGGTAAAAATGGAAATAAACCAAAATCTGGCATTACCCTGCATTCTTCAACAAGGGACAGATATATGGTTGAATTGCCTTCTCTTTTAAGAGAGCAATGAGCATAGGGGATACTGTAAGCAGTCTCTAGATAGCATTAACAGATCTATCTGGCAATCTAACTGACTTGTATTTGCTGAGGAGATAAATAGTTTATTTCAAAAAAAAAAAATAAGGAGATAAACAGTCATCTTTCCCAACAAGTTTTACCACTCCATATTTACATTTCACTCAAAAAAATCACATCTTTTGGATCTACTATGTATTTAATCCACAAATTAGAACACAATATATGAACTGACTCGACAAAATATGTTCAATAATTCTCCTTCTTATATTTCCTCACAAAAAGGGGGATAGAGTATACTGCAATTTTCACTTAGATAAGCTGTTTTTTAATTTTTTCTTTGGCCTTTGGATGGGATGTTTGCGTAGAGATCATGGGTTGGAACTTATCCTCTCGGAGGCCCATATACATTAACATTGGCTTCTGCTCCTAATTCAAACACATGCACTCTGATAATTTAAGCTACCATGACGAGTATCAGAAACCTGGTTATTCTGTCACTATCAAGATTTTAGGAGCTACAAATAAAATATACAAGGCGCCTAACACAGCCAAAACTTTGGATCGTATGTTTAAATGATCATAAAAACAACGAAAACAGAGAGAGATCCTAATATTTGGATATTCCACACACTATCAATCCAACTGCCTCATCACCAGCAACAATGATAATTTCCAAAAGAAAATTAAAAATTAACAAACACGAGTAGGCATGTATCTGTACCTCATTGAAGAGAAACACTCACCTTTAAGCTTGATGCCGCCTGCCATTTTATCAATTTGTTAAGTTTGTATCAAAAGGAATGACTTCCATAAAGTACAAAAACTATACAAGAAACAACAAGGACAATTTTCATTCTTACCCATGAAAATACAGCTGAGAGCCCAACACCAACTCCAATCCAAAATAGTGGTGACCCTCTACAAAGACAATTAAACACCATTAAACCTCGTAACAAGTACACAGAAGAAACATATTTCCATATGGTATATCAAACCATTTTATAGTACTTTGACCAACCCTAGCTTTTTCATGCAACAAAATCTAATGAAAAGTAAAATGAAGCTCATAAATTTAAGTACACGCTTGATGCGGGTGGTGGCACTGTTAGGTTTGGGTTAACACCAACTGAAGATGTCTGTTGATCAGTTGAAGAAGAAATACTGCCGAAACGATCCCCTCCAGACTTCCCTAACACCACATCAGAGAAGATACAAGTGAAAATTTATGCAGCTGTTTGCAAAAGAAAAAACAAAAACATACCCTAACCATAGCTCTTTTTGCTTGCCAAACTAACAGAAAGATAATTAGGTTCTCAAAGAAAACTGAAAGAAATTAAGACTTTTGGCTTCGTTTGGATCAAATGAGTACTGAAACTAGACTTCATTTGTAAATTGAACTGAACAATGTTTTTTAACATTTGATGGAATTTAATTAGATTGCAAAAACACAAGCATTAACGTAAAATGTGTCAAACTTTTTTTCTCCAACTATTTACCCAATTCCATTAAAATTGTATAAACCTGAAATGTTTATTTGACTAAAACCATATGATTTTTTTTTCCGATAAACCAATTCCATATGCAATTTATTTCAATATAAATTCCATAATTTGGAATTATTCTAAAACATAAAAAGTTGGACGCAAAAAAATGAATTCCACATTCTTTTAATGAAATTCATCCGTTCCAATGACATTTTTTAGATGACAGCTCCCCAAAACCGAAAACACAGGCTCAGATAAAAAGCAACTTAAAGAACATACAACTCCATGAGTAAATGGAACAGAACACTCTGCAACGACTGAGCAATTTCTCAACCTAAGACAAATCCATATATGCATTTCCGCGAAATTAAGCATCAATCTAATACGCCATGTGATTATCTCCTGGTAACTGAAAGAAGAACAAAGCAAATAGAAACATAGACGAAGCATAACCAAATACAGAGCGGGTGCTGCAATTACCAGTGTGGCTAGTCACTGCAGGGCGGGAATAGCGAGAATGAGAAAGCGCAGAGACGGAAATCGTGGAGTTCCGACGGCAAACCCTCGAACTTCTTAGAGCGAAAGGAAGACGAAGTGGGGAATAATTTAGGGTTTTAGGGATTTCTTTAGAACGGTTTTTAATTGGATAATTACTATGATTACAACCATATCCTAATAACAACTTTGGGGAGGAAGAGACCAGCACCCCGTTAAGGTTTTCCATTAGTTTCTCCTTCAATTTGAAGAACACCAGAAAGAAGACCAAGGAAAGAGGCGAAGTTAAAGCAGGTAGATAGTTAAGGTTTTGTGGTGTGCGGAGGAAGTCGATGACGCTCCACCTAGGGGGGGTGGGTTTCAAGGAAGCGAGAGTGAGAGTTTCTTGATTGCTGAAGTGTTAATGCCCGGACTGTGATGGGAAGTCTTGGGTATAAATCAATGTATCAGAAACTTTTGATCAACGGTAGATGATTAATATCGGAGGGCTTGATCCGACGGATCAGAGAAAGCGATTAAAATGAGAAAAGACTTCAAAGCCCACATATGATTGAGACGATAATTAAAAATAATGGAGCTAAATTAAAATATTTAATAAATAAGAATTGATTTTCTAAATATAATTTTAAGATTATTCGAAATAAATAAATTTTACATCTCATAAAATTTTATACAGTTTAAACTATATTATTTAATTTTTTAAAATTATCTAAAAATTTATCTTATAAAATTTTGTACATTAATTTTAAATTTATTAATATGGCATCTATATCAAAACACACATTGATGTTATGTCACAATTTTTAAAATAATAATAATATTATTAAATTAATTTAAATTCAAATAATTCTTTTTTTTATTCACTAGAGAAGACGAACCCAAATACAATAAAGAAAATTTCGAAGAGACATAATTTATGTAATATTTTGGTATTTTGGTGTCATACTTTGTATTAGCACGATAATACATAAATTTTTACATTTATTATATATATAATTATGATTGAGTAAAAATTTATAATTAAAGTTAAGCATATTTAAATGAACCAGTTCATACTTAATTGAATCAAATTAAAAATGTATTGACGATGATGGATTCGAATGAAAAAACACACCTTTTCAATTTTAGATTATATTTGATAAAATTGATATTTTTTTAACTAGTTTATCTTGTATCGAAATTGATTATATTTTAAAAAATTATTATTTGAAATTTTAATAAACTAATATTAAAAGTTATATTTTATATATATCTATATTTTCGGTACAAACTAGTTCATTTTTTATTGATAATGGCCAAAATTATAAGAAAATATATTGATTTATTTGTCAAACCTTAATGATAATAGCCTTAACAATAAGTTATAATTTTAATTAAAAAATAAAGATAAAAAAATAGTATCATGAGTTAACAAATATTCAATAAATATAATATGTAATGTGTAGATTAAATATTTATATCAAAATATACAAAAATTGGTTATAATTCTTTTAGTCATTTTTAACCATAAAGTAACACAACAACTATATTAATACTAAAAAAACTTGTGGCATAGTTGTGATTATAGTTGTAATTATATAATGTAATACCCAAACTCAAAATTTGGTTCGGGATCAATTTTGGCATTTAAAAAAATGATTAAAAAGTATTTTTAAATTATTTTAATTTAATTTTATTAAATTATTTGATAAAAATTAGTTAGAGACGTAATTGAAAACTATTTAAAAAAAAAGTGAAAATTTAAGTTCTGATTGTGTTTTTAAAAGAAAAATTAGAAATAAATGATCAAAAGGCAAAAAGAAAAAATTAGGTCGTATGGAACGGTCCAGTCAGCAACCCTAATGAAGCAGAGTACGTCGTGTGGCAAAGCACACTGACATTGGCGCCACGCCGTATGGCAAAACACGCTGACGTCGGCGCCACGTTGACGATCTGTGTGCCCCGTGATCCGACAACCCAGATTCGATATCGCGTGTGTGAACGACTCATATGCGGGTTGCCTCCTTATGTGTGATCAG